AGGCACATCATAATTATATTAGCTAAGATAAAAATGAAGAAGAGAATCCTAAAAGCAGTAAGAGATAAGGAGACAGTCACCTACAAAGGAGTTCCCATCAGACTGTCAGCTGATTTCTCAAAAGAGACCTTACATGCAAGAAGAGGCTGGAAAGAAGTATTCCAAGTCATGAAATGCAAGGACCTACATCCAAGATTGCTCTATCCAGCAAAGCTTCATTTAGAATGTAAGGTCAAATAAAGTGCTTCTCAGGTAAGGTCAAGTTCAAGGAGTTCATCATCACCAAGCCCTTATTATATGAAATGTTAAAGGGACTTATCTAAGAAAAAGAAGATAAAAAAACATGTATACTAAAATGACAGCAAACTCACAATTACTAACAACCGCACCTAAAATAAAAACAAACTAAGGAAACAACTAGAACAGAAACCAAACCACAGAAATGGAGATCACATGGAGGTTTAGTAACAGGGGAGTGGGAGGAGGAGAGGGAAGGAAAGGTACAGAGAATAAGTAGCATAGATGGCAGGCAGAAAATAGATGGGTAGGGCAAGAATAGTATGGGAAATGTAAAAGCTAAAGAACTTAAGACACATGGACATGAACTAAAGGGGGGAGGGTGTTCAGGTTAGAGGGGAATGAAGGGGGGAAATGAGACAACTGTAATAACATAATAAAAGATACTTTGTATGATTTCAATCTGTTGAGACTTGTTTTGTGATCGATCATGATTCATTCTGAACAGTGCTCTATGGGTACTTGAGGAAAATGTGATTCTGCTACTGTTGGGATGGGTTGTTCTGTATGTGTATTAAGTTCATTTGATCTTAGTTCAAGTCCAGTGTTTCCTTGTTGATTTTCTATCTGACTGATCTACCCATTGTTGAAAGTGGAGTATTGACATCCCCTACTCTTCATTTTTTTCTATATTTCTCTCTTCAGATCTGTTTGTATTTTCTTAATATATTTAGGTGCTCTGATGTATGCATGTGTATTTACAATTGTCATATCTTCTTAACAAATTGACTGACCCCTTATTATATAATGACTGTCTTTGTGTCTCATTACCACTTTTGGCTTAAAGTTTCTTTTCTATGGTATTAAGTACAGCCACCCCTGCTTTCTTTGGGGTTTCCACTTGCATGGAATATCTTTTTCCATCTCTTCATTTTCAGCCCACGTGTGCCCTCAAAGCTGAAGTGAGTCTCTTCTAGTCAGCAGATGGCTAGGCCTTTTTCAAAAAAGTAATCCAGCCTGCCTTTTGATTGGAGATATCAATTAATTTGTATTTAGTGCAATTATCGATGGGTAAGGACTTACTACAACCAGCTTTTGTTTTCTGGTGGTTTTGTAGTTCCTTTGTTCATTTCTTCCTCCCTTGCTGCCTTCCTTTGTGAATTGGTGATTTTCCATAGTGGTTTGCTTTGATGCCCCTCCCTTTGTCTTTTGTGAATCCACTTGTAGGTTTTTGTTTTGTGGTTACCATGAGGCTTACATAAGACATACATGTTTTAATACTTCTGTTCTTTAATATTTATGCTGAATTTCAGTAGTTATATCACCACATTATAGTATTTGGGTATTCTGAATCTGACTATATGCTTATCTTTACTTGTTAGTTATATATTTTCATGTTACAAATTAATGCCTTTTTATTTCAGCTTGAAGAACTTCTTACAGTATTTCTCTTTAGTTAGGGGTAATGGTGATGAATTCTTTTATTATTAGGAAAAGTTTTTATCTCATCTTTATTTCCGAAGCTCAACTTTTTTGGGTAAAATATTCTTGGTTGGTAGTTGCTCTCTTTTAGCACTTTGAATATATCATCTCATTCTCTCCTGGCCTGCAAGGTGTCTACTGAGAAATTCATGATAGTTTTATGGAGGTCCCTTGTATGAAAGATTTCTTTTTCCTTTTACTGTTTTTAAAAATTCTTTCATCATCTTTGCTTTTAGACAGTTTTATTATCATTTGTCTTGGAGAAGATTATTTTGGTTTGAAAATTATAGGTGACCTATTAGCTTCATGAATTTGGATATCTAACTTTCTTCCTAGGTTTGAAAAGTTCTCAGCCATTATTTAAGTAAACATTCTACCCCTTTCTCCCTCTCTGCTCCTCCGGGACTCTCATGATGCATACATTATTTCTCTTATTAATGTGCTGTAAGTTCCTTGGCTTTTTCTTTATTCATTTTCATTTTTTTTCTTTTTGCTCCGCTGATTGGATAAGTTCAAATGATTTGCCTTCTAGCTCACAGACTTTTTCTGCTGTTTGTTCAAGTCTTCCATGAAAGCTACTATTGAATTCTTCAGCTTAGTCATTTTATTCTTCAGCTCCAAAATTTTTTGTTTCTTTTTAATGTTTTCTATCTCTTTGTTGAACTTCTCATTTTGTTCTTGTATTGTTTTCCTGATATTGTTAAATCATGTATCTGTGTACTGTTGTAGCTTTCTGAACATCATTGGGGCAATTACTTTTTTTTAATCAGGAAATTTCTGGCTTTTCACTCCTGGGTCTAGTGCTGCAGGGCACCAGGTGGGGGTTGTGTAGCAGTACCAGGTCTGACAGGGTTGTGGGCAGGCATGATGTCTCTTGGACTCAGACCACTGAGTCTATAGCATTGACAACACCATAGGTGTTGGCAAGCACCATAGGTGTCCCACAGTGGCTTCAGAGGCTATTCAGGATTTCAGTGGCACCTCCAGGTCCAGCAGGTAGGGACCAGGACAGCCAGCAGTGGTGACCCAGATCCAGTGGTATGCACCTTCTCAGCAGGGGGCCATATGCACATGGCAATGCAGTGGCAGGGGCTGTTTGCAGACACATGCATAGTTGTGGGGGCCAGAGCAAGCAGCAAGGTCTGGGGCCAACAACAGATTCACTGGCACCTACAAAGGCCCTAGTTGTCAGTGTGCTGTCCCGTCCCCAGGTGCACACTCTCCTGCTGGGCATGCACATTGCGAGAGGCCTATACCGAGGGTCAGGGCAGTTACTTGCAGGTGCACAGCTAGAGGGGGTAGCTCCAGGCTCATGCATAGCACTGGGGGTCAGCTGGGGGTTGGTGTCTATGCTGGTATCTTGTGCTTGAGCAGCTGCAGAGGCCTGAGCTGGCTACCTCTGGCCAGACAGGGGAAAGAGGAGTGTGGAAAATGACAGCAAACAGGAATACCTGTGGGGTGAAATCCAGTGAAAACTGCAGGGAATACATAGTGGTTGCCACCATACTTGCTGTTGACTTCAGGTAAGTGTCAGAATCTTCTAGAATTGTCCACTGGGCAATTCTCTGTGAACCTCAGCCACTGCCAATCATGCCTGCTGCCAGCAGACCTTGTTTTCTTCTTTGCTCCTAGCTGGCTTTGTTCACTTTAGCTCAACTGGTCTGGGTGGGGTGAAACTGAAGGGGGACCAGCTGTGCTGCCACACAGACTAGAGAAGCTGGTTGCTCATCCTGTCTTATTTTCCTGGCAAGGGGAAATCTAGCCGGGCAATTCCCTCTTGGCACTGAACAAGGCCAGCTTGGGGGATAGGATGATGCAGGCAAAATGAAGTTCTCTTCCTTCTCTTTTTGTGTGATTATGGTCAGGTTTTTTTTGTTTGTTTGTTCCACTGTATTGCTAAAACCTCCTAAGTAGACTCTAGAGCTCTTCCAGAGCTGTTTTTGGTTCATGGACAGCTATCTAATCACTGATCTTTGTTCAGGAACAGGGAGACTAGGGTCTTCTATGTCACCATTTTGGTCTCCTCTGTCTTCAAAATTATTTCCTTTACATTTTTTATTTTTTATTTAATGTTTTGTTTTTTTCCCCAATTACCAATAAAAATTAGCTTATTGGGAAAAAAAAACCAACATAATTCAGAAATGTGTAATACAGACAGAGAGTGTTCACCAAATTCAGTATCTTTTCAGGTGCATGTTTTCATGCTTGTAATTGTAGTACACATACAATTTCATAAGCTGTTTGGGGGGCTTTTTAAATCAAACATTTCCCCTCAGATTGCCACATGATCTTTAAAACCAGTATTTTTTAAAGATTTTATTTATTTATTTTTAGAGGGAAAGGGAAGGGGAAAGAGGGAGAGAGAAACATCAATGTGTGGTTGCCTCTCACACGCCCCCTACTGGGGATCTGGGTGGCAACCCAGGCGTGCACCCTGAATGGGAATCAAACCAGTAACAACTTGCTTCACAGGTTGGCACTCAATCCACTGAGCCACACCACCCAGGGCAAAACCAGTATTTTAATGACTGCGTAATAGTCCACTAAGTGAATTTTCCATTATTTACTTATATGTTTGTCTTTTAGATTGTTTCCTATGTTTTTTACTATTGTAACTAACATAATGGTCAACTCTAGGCATATTATTTTTCCTCATAATTTTGGACTATATCATTAAAGGATGAGGTGAAATTACTGAGTTCAACACTTTTTTTTCTAATATTTTATTTATTTATCTTTAGAGGGGAAGGGAAGGAGCGAGGGAGAGAAACATCAATGTATGGTTGCCTTTCTTCGGTGGCCACCAGCCAGGGCCTTGAGTTCAACACTTTTAAGTATGTAATATCTAGTTTCTTTTCAAAGAGATTTGTGAATATATCAGTGTCATTGTAATAGGAAAGGTCTTTCATTTCGGGTAAAAACTGTTTTCACAGAACCAGCTTCACTGGGTTCCATGGCTTCTTACCACCGATAAGATGAAAAATATGGGAAGACTAGTGCAAAATTACTATTTAAAAAAACTAAAAATTAGTTTCTCATGAGAAGTGAGCTGGTAGTTAATTGGGTGTTCCAGAACAGGGCTTTATGTTTTAAACTCGGGATGCTGCTTTCCTCCATGTTTCTGACTAAATGTTTCAGCCTAAAATACAAGAACCTTATAAAGAGGTACACTTTTTGATACAAGGTCTGTGATATTTATAAACAAAGGTTTAAGTTATGACATTTTTGAAAGCCCTTTTACTAACAGATTTTATTAATAACACACTTCTTTTCTTCTTCAGAAAACAGCATTTCACAGAAGCCAGACGCTGGGCTACAGGAACGGCTATGCAGTCGCTCGACGTCCAACAGCCGCGGTGGGCGGGGACCGGCTCCAGGTCAACCAGCTGTCCCAGGCCGACCTGGATGAGTTGGCCAGCCAGGTGTCCCTTCTGACTTATGGCCAACCTAAGCAGGCCCCACCGCCAGATTTTATCCCTGCACATGTGGCTTTTGACAAAAAGGTATCATCTGGGATTTTAGGGTATTCTGTGAATTCAAATTTCTGAGAGCCAACTGTTTCCAGGAAAGTCAACAATAAATGACAGGTTTTCCAGAGCACTCTGAGGAGAAGATTGTTCAGATGCCTCAACCCTTAGTCACAAACAGCTGAGCTCAGGATTGAAAGAGCCTTTCTTTAGTCAGGAAGCCGATTACAGAAAATAATTCCCCATAGACTTCACTGAACTATTTTCCAAATGCAGCTAAAGAGAAGTTGGATGAATTCTGAATTCTTGAGTTCATGTTGTTCTGTGCTTACCTGCTCTGTGTTTTCCACTTTTTAAAAGTTTCCAATTCTGTCATGATGATAAATCCTTAGTCTCCATGAAATGCAAAAAGTCTTCATGACATCAGCTCTATCTGCTGTCAGTTTTCTCCAGGCTGTCTCCTTAGCCTTGTTTCTCAGGGAACATTTTGGGCTCAGCATAGCATAGTCTAAGTGTGGTAAAACTGTTTTGTTTGTGCCTCACTTACCCTAACGCTTTTGTAGCGTGAGTTACCTCCTGCTGGCATTTCCACCTCAGCCTTGATCTTCCTTGTCAGTGAGTCTCCTCTTTCCACTGAGGTGAGGTAGTCCTAACTCCAGCCATTTGGTAGAATCACAGATGGGACTTTTAAGAAACTCAGATGCTTCCCTACTCCTCATAATTCTCATTTCCGGGTGATTTTTGCATATAGATGGGTCTCAGAACTACTGACCAGTTTTTATAAGTTACCTTTTCTAATTTACTGCTAGCCTATTTTTCTGTCTTTCAGTTTTATTATTTTTGTTAAATACCTATACCATTTTCATCAAGCTAGTCAAGCTTTATTGAGTAGCTATGAAGCTGGAGATTTGAAGCTACAAAATAGTCTGGTGTTACAACTATATCATTTACATTAATAATCACTTAGTTTAAAGCAATTTTGATGTATTGGCGAGAATCTATATAATCCCCTCTTCCCCATCTCAATTATCACATTTGATAGAAACAATTCACATACCAATTCATAGGCTAAACCTAAAAATCCACTAAATGTTATCAGTTACATGTTGGGATATTTCTTTACATTATTTTTTTATTTGTTTCTCCTCTTCATTTGCAGCTGTGACAGACACTGCAAAGCTAGTAGAGAAGGGAGGCAGTGAAAAAAGAGGAGTGGGATAGGTATTTAACAGCTTTTCAAGTTATAAATCCTGGCAGCTTCAAGCTTATGGGAAAGAATAGCAAATAACTGTTATCAACTCTAAAGCATATTAAGTCATATATGCCATGAGAAAAGATTAATGAAATGTAGAGGGAGAAATTGTGCCTGAATAGGTAATAGGCTTCTTATTTTTCCTTTGTTATTTCATGCTAATTGTCATTCTTAATTTATACTTTTAAAATAGTATTCATAATTCATTTTTTAAAAGATAGTAGGCATGAAGAAGTATACATACCATTTTAATATTTCTATTATTTTACTTGGATCATCAAAATTTCTAGATAAAAGATCCTTACCATACATACTGAGGTAGAGAGTAGTTAAATGCGTGGTTTTGAAATTAAGATTTTTTTCTCAATAGGGAATTACAGTTTTTCTGAATTAAATCTGTTTCTTTTTTTTAGGACTACCTGGAGTCTACTTAATAGCCAACATAACTGTCCATATTTTGGACATTCTTTGTACTATGCCTTGTCTTCAGAGTAAAATTTTATTTCTTACACAGGTGATAAGGACCAGGACATCTGCTGTGATCACTCTCATCTTTTCTCTTCGCTCCCACACACTTCTCTTCATCGTCACCTACTGTGTTCTACTTCCCAGGCTTGTGTCCTTCTCTGTGTTCCTGATGTTTTCTTTTATCTTTTTCATCGTTGACTCCCATTTCAAACATGCTAGTAAGTACTCCTTTACCTCAGGTCACACTGTCCTGTCCCCAAAACCCTTTCTACCTGGTGACCCCTTTGAGCAGCTTTCTTTCTTATTTGACTGTTATATCACATATAAGTTGACTTCTCTCTCTGCCCTCAAGACCCAAACTATTTTTTTGCCAGTATTCTCTCTGACCTATTTACAATACTTGACATTGCTGACCTTCTCTTCCCTCTTGAAACTTTGCTTTTCTTTTGCTCCCCTGACTCTTCACTCTCCTGAATTTCCTCCCTATCTGGTTGCTTCTACTCTGGCCTCCCTTTCTTTTCTCACTTTTAACTGTGTGCATTTTAAAGGGTCTGTTCCCATTCTTTATTGTACACTCTTCAGAGATCTCCCCCAGTTCTGTGGTTTCAACTATCATCTCAGTGCAGACAACTGTCAGTATTTCCGATTCTGACCTTTTTGAAACTGCCTTGGGATACCTTCCCCTGGATGAGCTGTGGGCACCTCAGGTGCTGTGTGTCTCTGACCCAGATCATCACCTTTTCTCACACAGAAACGTGCTGTTTCTGTGTGACCACAAGGTGACCAAAGCTTGAAACCTAAGCCATTTTCTGGCTTTTCTCCCTTTCAGTGAGTTGCCAAGTCAAGTAGCTCCCACTTCCATTTCCTCTCCCATTATCATAGTTCAAACAAGCGATGTGTTGAATGGAAACATGTTGTTAACTGTTGTAATAGTCCTGTAATTGTTTTTTATGCTTATATATGTCCAGTGCTTGGTTTATTCCCCAAAACATATTATGCCATTTTTCCGTGAAAATGCCTTCAGACTGTTTTAACCAGTACAGTACACATCACCACTGTCTATCTAACTGGCTGCTCTAATCCCCCAACATGAACGTCATCCTTGATTCTTCTTGCTTACAACCCATCTCCAAACTTAACAAGCTCTGTCATTTCCATCTTTAAAATATATGGCTAAGTTGTTCATTTATTTCCATCTCCACTCTTACAATTTATTTTCCATAGAGCAGCCAGGCTTATCTTTTAAAAATGGTTATCAAATTATGCCATACACCAACCAAAAACATTTCCATGGCTTTCCCAGTGGTCGACTAGCATCCAGCTCTACAGGTTCCTCACAGCCCCACTGAGTCTGGCCCTCCCAGCTGTTTCTCCAGCTTCCTCTTGGGCCTGTCTTTTCCTTACTCACTGTGTTTCAATCACAGTACATTTAGTTTCCCTATTTTCTCGAAACTATAACACATTTCCCCCCCATTACAGGACCTTTGCACATGCTGTTCCTCCTATTTGGACTAGCTTCCCTGTGATTGTTCCTCAATAAATATTAGTTTAAAAACTGAGATGAATTATTTTTTCACAGATAAAATTAACATATCCTTTGTGTCACTGCTAAAAATTGGGAAGCTTAACATGCAACCCACATATATAATGGAATAAAATAATAAAAACTGTGACTTGGCTTTTCATAATTGTATGTGATATGAAGATATTTATTCAGCATTTTTGTGTTTAGTCTTGAAGTAATTGCAAATATTTTCATGTTTATGGTGGCATTCTGAGCACTTCCTGGGTGTCAGGAGACCTGTATTCTAATTCTAGGGCTTCTACCAACCAGTGTTGTGACCTGAGGAAGTCACATTCTCTAGTTTCCTCATTCATAGAATTAGGTTAGAATACATGGTAATCAGGAGTCCATCCAACTGTAAAACTCCATAAAAACACATTTTTAAATACAGTGTCTCCATATTATTTTTTCTTTCCTTTCTATGTAATACATTACGATCTTGTTCTACCTGGGAAGGCTAATGTTATCCTACTTGCTGAAGAGCTTTCTTATAGTCTATCCCAGTAATTTCTTCATGGAAGGAGCATAGAACTCTTGATTCTATTCTTAATAAGTGCTTTTCTGATTAACAATGAAATAAATAAGTATCTCAGGGGTTACAGTATTTTTTACCCAACACCTCACATACTAGCTTGGCTCTCTGTAACACTGAATTATATGTTGAAAAGATATAGTTTTAGCTATATGTGCAGATTATATGCCAGAGGAAACACAAATGTTTATTGGACAAACCGATCCATATTAAATGTTTAAAAACAGTTGTAAAGACAGAAAAAACTTCTAGGTGGTGTTTTAACAGGTAAAATTTTTACCACTTACCATTTATGTCAGACTACAAACTCCAAAATAACCAGGGAACTTGAGAAATTAGTGCTGTTAGTGAACAGAATAATCAGTTTCTTTGATTAGAACTGAATATACCATGTATACATAATCAGTTACTTCTTTTCTCTACATAATCTGAATACCCTAAAATGAATATAAACCAAAGACTGAGCTGTGCCTTAATTTTCCCTTTTGCTTCACAAATAATTTTTTAGATTTTACAAAATGATCATGTGGTCACAATTCATTACTGTAGGCGCACAAAGGTTAGGATTCACCTGTAACGATCATATGGCATAGTCTAGAAGATTTGGACAATTGATGATTTAAAGGTTTTGAATAGAGTAAAAGTAGTTCTGGTGATTTTAATCTTTAAAGTGTGTGTGTGTATTTCCTTCCTGCCTCCCATTCTAAGGCCAAGTTCCTGCTGCCAAAGGCATTTTCATCCCTTCCAATCTTAGGAAACAGACAGCATAGGAACATGGATGTGCCGTGGGGCTCTGTCTTTGGTCTTCTCTCTGTGTCTGCTCACTCCCTTGGTTCAGGCTCATGGCTTCAAATGTCCTTTACATGATCATGATATGCTGTGTCTGGAATTTGTAATTGCTTGTTTGACATCTCCTCTTTAGTGTTTAACAGACATCTTTGACTAAACATGTTCAGAATTTAACTCCTGATTTGTCTCCCCATCCCCAAATCTGCTCCACTCCAGGCTGCCCATGTCAATCTGATAGCAGTTCCATGGTTTCATTTGCTTGGGTCCAAATATTCCAGTCACCCTGATTTCTCTCCAATGTTGACTTCTTTCCCAGGCTCAGTCCTGCATCCCAAGTTTATTGCATCCCTCTAATATCAACTTGTGGTGTAACTTAATCTCAGCAAGTCTAACATCAGACTCACCATCTGCCGTACAAAATTATCTTCCTGACATCTCCATTTCTGTGAGAATCATCACTATATTCCCAGCACTGTGCTTCCTCAGTATCTCTCATCTGGCTCCCACCTTCCTACTTCCTCACTATCAATCCAACCAACCTCTGTTTGGTTTTCCATCACTGGTCGACTTACTCCCGTAGACCTGGGCTGGTGGAGCAGCTTTCCGTGCGATCCCATGCCTAGCAACTTCCGCCTCCTCGTAGTCTGCATACGGCTGCTGGCTTTGTTTCCTCTGCTTCTGTTGCTGGAACCCACTCTTGTCCCCTCCACTTAGACTTTCTCTGCCCACTTTAGTTCACAGAGATTCCTTTCTGAACCACTACAGCACCTGTTGTCTAAAGGGTAAGTGCCTGAGCTTAGCTATATTCCTCACCCCTTCTGTGGTCTCAGACCAGTCACTCTACCCCCTGAGTCTCAGTCTCCTCCTTTGTAAAATGAGGGAGGTTTGAACAGCTGATTACTTCTGGCTCTAACATTTTGTATATTTATAATTCTCAAGCTCAAATACAGAGCATTTCGTATATGAATTACTGATTCTGTCCTCAGTGATCATGTCCCCCTTTCTGTTCTTTGCACTTTATCTAAAATGTTACTTTAAAATAATTTTTATATTTTGCTTTTACCATGTTATGTTTTCTTTAAACATTCTATTACATTAGCCCATTTCATCTTTTTATTATGAGTTTCAAGGCCTTGCCTTCACTATATTCACGTTTCTCTTGTGCATTTGCCTGTTCTTGTTTGGTTTTTACCTTGCTCTTATACAGCAGACTCTGTACCTTTTTAGCAACAGCACTCATGTATAAAATTCCTCTTTTTTATTCATCGAGCCATTTTTGTGTCTTTACTAAAGGGTCTCTTTGTTTTTTTGCTCTTATTTTAGGTGAGGTTTGTGTTAACACTTGCCTACCTAAAACATCATTCTAATACTTTCCCTAAAAAAAAAATTAAAAAAAGAATAACAGAAATTTATAAATTAATCCCAAAGCATGCCAACATAAGCTTTTTATAATATTTTTAAATGTTTAAATGTATAATAGGCCATTTTGACTTCACACTGATACTGATGCTCTACAAAGGACCTAGGTTTTGCTCGATCATCTATATATGCACACTTCTGAGCACAATTCACACGTCACCCATGGTGGACTCTGTGATAGGTTGATGATTTGAGAGTTATTCATATAAAGTTTCTAATAATGAATATGTTGTTGGTACGCATTTGTAAGGAACTCCATTTCTAAGGAACTCCGTTTGTAAGAAATGGAGTTGAGCCTTTATTTTTATTTTCAACTGTAAAGTCATAGTCTTATCCAAATTTCTTACTCTTTTCAAAAATTCTCAGAGGGCCCTGGCTGGTGTAGCTCAGTGGATTGAGCACGGGCCTGCGAACCAGACAATCGAGGTTCGATTCCCAGTCAGGGCACAAGCCAGGGTTGCAGGCCGGTTCCCTGCAGGCCAGTTCCCAGCAGGGGACGCACGAAAGGCAACTATACATTGATGTTTCTCTCCCTCTCTCCTTCCCTTCCCCTCTAAAGATAAATAAATAAAATCTTAAAAAAAAATTCTCAGAGGGATTTTTGACATTGAGGTGAAGCTTAAGGTCTTTAAGCCATCTGATAAAAGAATATATTAGTAAATAGTTTACACGTAGTTTGAGTGTTTAGGGCAGAGGTAGGTAAACTCTTTCTGTACAGCACCAATAGAAATATTTTGGACTTAGCAGCTACCTTAGTTTTGCTTGAGCTGCTGTAATAAAATACCACAGACAGGTGGCTGCTATAATAAAATACCACAGACAGGTTCTTAAACAATAGAACTTCATTTTGTCACTGTTCTGGGAGCTAGAAGGCCAAGGTCAAGCTTCTGGCCAACTTAGTTTCTGGTGAGGGCTCTTTTCCTGACTTGCAGAGAGCTGCCTTCTTTCTGTATCCTCACATGGCCTTTCCTTAGTGCATGCTGAGAGAGAGAGAATGAATGCCATTATTTCTATTGGATCACGGCCGCACTCTAAGGATCTCATTTAAGCTTAATTACCTTATAAAGACCCTGTCTCCAAACATAGTCATATTGAGGGTTAGGACTTCAACATGAATTTTGGGGGGGATACAGATCACAATGACTCAACTCTGCCCTTGTAATCTTGTAATGGCAAAGCAGTCTTTAGCAAATAAGTGTTGATCATTCATGTATTACTTTATTTTTAGATACTCAAATTTCAATTTCATGTAGTTTCCATATATTGTCAAATTGTATTCTGTTGATTGTTTTAAAACCATTTGAATGTAAAAAAACATTCTTGGCCTGTATATAAAAACAGGTGGCAGGAGTAGATTTGTCCCCTGGGTCATAATTTGGCACTCTCTGATTTCGAACATAGGACTGATGAATATTCAAATCGGCCTGACTGATTCTCTTTATAGGAGGTACTTGCTATGTTTTGGTTGAGAAATGGATACAACACCATTTCTTCTTTATGTGTTGTAGGTACTGAAATTTGATGCCTATTTCCAAGAAGATGTTCCCATGTCAACTGAGGAACATTATAGGATCCGTCAGGTGAACATTTACTACTACCTGGAAGATGACAGCATGTCGGTCGTAGAGCCAGTTGTAGAGAACTCTGGGATCCCTCAAGGCAAGCTAATCAAACGCCAGCGCCTAGCCAAGAATGACCGGGGAGACCATTACCATTGGAAAGACTTAAATCGAGGAATAAACATTACGATTTACGGCAAAACCTTCCGCATTGTTGAATGTGACCGATTCACACAGGTATGGTATATATTTTTGGAAGTTTTGGTGTCTGAGGCATTCTAATTTATGAAGGGTACACTTAGTAGGGTTAGATTATCTGTCTTGGATAGATTATTATGTAGATGGGTTTGGTATTTTGTGTATAAGAGAGGACCCTCAATAATCTGGAATTATCTTCTGGAGGGTAGGTCCCTTGCAGTACAGGCTTCCCCTGCTAGATTAGTGTTCTAGGGACCCGTCTGTATCAGTGTACTAGCCGGCACTGTTGTGAGAGGCTGCATTCAGTTCGGCTTCAGTTAATTTTTTTTTTGAAGACTCAACACATTTGCCCATTTCATGATGGGCGATTTACAAGCACACCTGCACACACCTTGCTGATTGTTCAGCAGTTCTTGACCAAAAGTGGCATGACCTCGTGCCTACCCTCCCTATTCACCTGGTTTCACCCTGAGCAACTTTTTGTTGTTTGACCAGATGAAAAAGAGGGAAACATTTTGCTGATGTGGAAGAGGTGAAACAAAAACTGGCAGAAGCAGTAAAAGGCATCAGAATGGATGGGCTTAAAAACTGTACTGAGCTTTGCACAGTGGCAGTATCGTAGCCAATGAGGTTTATCCAAGGCACGATTATTGCTAATTGAAAAACTGTTTTGAGCAGTGGAAAAAAATCTTGGTAGGTGTATGGCATCAAACGGAGAGTACTTTTAAGGTGACTGAAGTTTAAACATGTAAGGATTAATACACAATTCTTTATAAATAAATTCTGGGGGCTTTTTTGGGTCCCCCTTTATATGTGCTGTGGGTCAACACTATGTAGTGATGTCATTTTTTCACAATGATATTGATACATAGCCTTTCAAATAAAATTGAACTCCTATCATAGCTTCATCATTTGATAAGAAGAAACCAGTTCACATGACAGTTCAAATAGAGAGTAGGGGAGGTAGCCCTCTTCATGGGGTAGAAATATGAAAGAGGCATTGGACAATTTAGCTGAAGTTTGCATCCACAAAAAATAGTGCTTCCTCTATTAGCAGATAGCCTAAACTTTTTTTGGTGCAATTTATATTTTTTCTGTAAATCATACTTGCTATATAATAGGGAAAATTGCTGTCTAAAGAATTCCTGAAATAAAGCAATTTTAAAAGGAAAACACCTTATTTATATTAACAAAAATCCTCTACTTTCTCTATTTTAAAAACATGGATTTTCTTACAATTGAGAAAGAGAGGAAGACCTTTTTTCTTCAACATAAAATGTAGGTAATAAGCAATTCAAAAAAGTTTGCCTTAGTTCAAAGTGTTTTAACTAAGCAAAGATAGTTTCTGACATATTTTATGCCTTTAATCTCATGTTGCCTAATGCCAGATGAGACACATTTTTACCATGCACTGAGCTTCTGTGAATTCACTCATTAATTTTTTGAATTTAGTTATTTATTTGGCAAATAGTTATCAAGTACCTGCTATGTGCCAGGCATTGTTCTAGGTGCCAAGTATATTGTTCTAGGTGCTTTTGCTACATTCTCACTGGAGGAGAAAACAATAAACAGATACACTTATATCAAATTCTGATAAGAGCTATAGAAAAAACTGAAGCAGAGTAAAGGGGTTGGAAGCTGGAGGAGGTCGCTCTGATATTGATCAGAGGGGCCTCACAGATAAGATGACACAGGAACAAAATGCCCCAAGTAAGTAAGGAAAGGCACCACAGCATCTGTGTCACCCTAAAGCAGCAGAGAAAAATAATATAGAAGGTAGAGGTGCTAGACCATCTTTGAGATATTGTCCCCTTGAAGCGTATTTCGATCTGTCATTGTTTAGGTTTTTGAGGTCCTCTTCATCAAAGGCAGTTCCAGAATTGTACCAACAATGAGAAATTACAAACATGTTACATTAAGTTGAGGTATTAACATTATTCTTACAATTGTGTCTTCATGGACAATTTGAACATTTGCAAGTTAATCACTGTGCAGCTGATCTAAACCAGTTGGCCAATTCTTATTGGTCATGGTAGTTATTTCTTTAAAGTTGCCACAAATGCTTAATTAGCAAACACTGCACCATTGCTCCTAGGAGAAACACAGGGTTAGGTTCCTACAGGTCTCTGGTCATAACATTTTCATCAACTCATCAGTACATAACCTTATTTTATGTGTGTTTGTTTCAAGATGCCATCTTTAAAATATATTGTTGATTCATGAACATTGAACTCATGGCCACAACAGTGTAACTGTAATTCATGCCTGAATGAAGCTTATCTAAATGTATTTTCTCCTTCAGGGACATCACACCTGCTTTTAAAAAAAATTGGTAAAATATATGTAACATAAAATTTAATTACCATTTTAACATTTTTAGATGTATAGTTTAGTTGCATTAAGTACATATCACAGCCTTCTTTCATGTACTCATGTAGAATATGAGTACATGAAAGTTTCATGTCTCATGCAGAATATGACACAGCACTTTGACACTAAGGAAGGGACCACTTTGAACAATAAAATCACCAACAAAAAGCACAAAGTGAGAAAAGTGGCACTAAAGGATACTTTTTCAATACAAAAGCTGAAACATGGCAGAATGTTATCTTGTTCAGCCTCAGCTAGGAATGTGAGCATGAGGCAACTCAAATTTCCATCACTCCATGCACATCTGTGGAGGACCTCAAAAGCACTGCAAATAGTGATTCGTAGGTTACCAATAAGGTTTAGGAAGTAGGCAAATTTGCAAACACACAATTTGTGAGTAATGAGGGTCAACTGTATTTTAATGACTGGTAATACACTAAAGCTGTGTATTTTGGATACTGATGATTAGACTGAATTAATGTTTTCAGTAATTGATCTGTCAGGTTATAAGTTGGCTCCTTTAATAGTATAAAATTATGCACATCTTATCTAATTCAGTGGTTTCATTAAGCCTGGACTGATGAGTAAATAACAAAGACAGTTGTTTGTAGGTGGTGAGTTGAACAAGGAGGCACCCCTCTTTAAATATATCACCACCACTATTCCTTTGTACCCCCTCCTCATTACACCAAATAAATGTTTGGTCCTATTGACAGAATAAACTGAACACATTTAAAAATAAAGCTCCAGAAATCAGAGATTTATAACTTATTATCTTCACTAAAGTATTATGGCTAGTGAAACAGGTGTGAATCCTACTCTATAAATGCCAGTGTGCAAAAATATTATTTTTTTAAAGATTTATTTAATTTATTTAAAGAGAGTGGAAGGGAGGGAGGAAGAGAGGGAGAGAAACATCAATGTGTGGTTGCCTCTCACACACCCCCTACTGGGCACCTGGCCCACAACCCAGGCATGTGCCCTGACTGGGAATGGAACCAGTGACCCTCTGATTCGCAGGCTGGTACTCAATCACTGAGCCATACCAGGCAGGATGCAAAACTTATTTTTAAAAATGACTTAAAACACTTCCAGTCTAGATGAAGGTATAGGCAGACACGGCTCGCCGCTTCACACAATCATATCAAAATTACAACTAAAACATAGAACAACCATCACTCAGAACCAAGGTGAATGGAAGTCTGACAACTATGGAATTAGAGAAACTGCATCCATGCACACTGGTAAGAGGGGTGCAGATGTACAATGGGCTGGTCCCTCGCCCATATATCATGACAAAAATTTGGGAGGGATATCTCAGGAGCAAGGAGTCCCAGCCCCATATCAGGCCCCCCAGCCCAGGGTTGCTGTGCTAGGAAGATAAGTCCCAACAACTTCTGGCTGCAAAAAACAGTGGGGATTGAGTCAGTAGAAAAAACTGCTAGAGCTCCAAGCAGTTCCTCTTAAAAAAACTCACACATGAACTTACTCAGACTCAGTCCCTCTGAGCTCCAGCACCAGAGTAGCAGCTTGAAAGGCACCAGTGGTATACAGGGAGAAATTGAAGTGTCTGGCATCAAGATGAGCAGAGGATATTGTCCCATTGCTAAACCATTCCGGCTTGGAGCCGATAACACTGTTTGACCTGTCTTGGAGATCCCTAGAGATGCTGCCCCACCCAGCTTACAGGCTCACATAAGCTGCTGTTCCATATAAATGGCTGGTCTTGGCTCCTGCAACACATCTTTCTAAATCCTATCAAACGAGCAACAGCTGGCCTCAGTGAACCCCAGGCTCCACAGTAGAAGCAACCAGCCTAGATTCACAGCTTGGCTTCACCTGGGAATCTCCAAGCCCAGCACAAGTAGCAGCCTTCTCAGATTGCTTTATAGCTTATGCAAGGTGGCCCCAGGCAAAACACAGTTGGGAGCTGAATTTGGCCTGCATCACCTGGGAAACCCTAAGGCCAGCACACCCAGTGGACAGCTACAGACAACACTGGAGCACCACCGCCCTGCTCCTGCACAGCTGATCTTCAACAGGGGGAAGAGGTTAGTGGTAAGTAGTCAAACTTTGCAGCTGACTGGCCTGAGTAAATCCCTCCCATTGATCTGCCAACAGCAACCAAGGCTCAACTGCAAGAACAGGGTGCACTCAGCCCACCTCAGCATACCTCAAGTACTCAGCTTGGGTGATGGGGAGGCTTTGCCACTAGACCCTACAGGCCACCTACTACCTTAGGGCACTCTACCAAGACACGGAGTCAAAGCAGCTTTACCTAATACATAGAAACAAACACAAGGTGGCTGCCAAAATGAAAAGACAAAGAAACATGGCCCAAATGAAAGAACAGATTAAAACTCCAGAAAAAGAGCTAAATGAAATGGAGATAAGGAATCTATCAGATGCAGTTTTAAAACACTGGTTATAAGGATGCTCAAGGAAGTTAGTGAGAACCTCAACAGCATAAAAAAGACCCAGTCAGAAAGGAAGGACATGCTAATTGAAATAAAGAACATTTTACAGGGAAACAACAGTCGAGTGGCTGAAGCCATGAATCAAATCAATGATTTGGAACATAAGGAGGCAAGAACAACCAATCACAATATAAAGAAAATGAATCCAAAACAATGAGGATAGTGTAAGCAGCTTCTGGTACAACTTCAAGAGGTCCAACATTCGCATCATAGGGGCACCAGAAGGAGAAGAGAAAAGGCAAGAAGTTGGAAATCTATTTTTAAAGATAATGAAAAAAACTTCCCTAATTTGGTGAAGGAAATAAACATGCAAGTCCAGGAAGCATAGACCATTCCAAACAAGATGGATGCAAAAAGGCCCACTCCGAGACATACCATAATTCAAATTCCAAAGGTTAAAAGATAAAGAGAGAATCTTAAAAGTAGCAAAAGGAAAGAAGTTAGTTACCTAAATGGGAGTTTCTATTAGACTGTCAGCTGATTTCTTAAAAGAAACTTTCAGGCTACAAGGGACTGGCAGGAAATATTCAAAGTGATGAAAAGCAGGGAACTACAACCAAGACTGCCCTACTCAGCAAAGCTGTCATTTAGAATCAAAGGGCAGATAAAGAGCTTCACAGACAAGACAAAACTAAAGGAGTTCACCAAACCATTATTATACAAAATGCTATAGGGGCCTATTTAAGATAAAGAAGAAGATAAAACTATGAACAATAAAATGTCAGAAAATAAAAGTCAATCAACAACATGAATGTAAAAAACAGACTAAGCAAACATGAAGAACAAACATAATCATGGATACAGAGAGTGTTTTGATTTTTGCCAGATGGAAGGAGGTTGTGGGGGATAATGGGTGAAGAGCTGAGGGAATTAAGAAGTACTAGGAGAGAGTTACAGAATAGCCATGGGGAGGTAAAGTATAGTATAGGAAATGGAGTTGTCCAAGAACTTACAGGCTTGGCCCATGGACATGAACGATGCTGGGGGGATTGCCTGAGGGAGCGGTGGTGCTGGGTGGAGGGGAGGCAAAGTGGGAAAAATCAGGACAACTGTAATAGCATAATCAATAACATACTTGAGCCCCAATCCAACTGAGCTCATATTTCTATTCACTCTCAACTTTGCCAAAGATTCCAAGCCCTAAGAACAAGGAAGCACTCCCATACCTAAAGGAGTCATTTGCCAGGGTTCTCAGGTTGTCCAATGACACCCCCTTGATGTTTGAGTTCTTGGTAAGACACTGGGATTCTGAATGCCTGAATGCACCTCACTGGCTGCTCAGAGCATCCCTACAGGTCGCATGTAGAGTCTTGTTCTTCTGAGACCCACCAACCTGTGCCTAATTTCTGGTCTGGGGGCATTTCCCCCTTTCTCTCCTGTTGCCCTCAAAGCCATTCTCTTCTCTCCTCTCCTTCTGGGACACCTTAGGATAATCTCCTCAAAGAGTTTAGGTTTTATCTAAGAGACAAGAAAGAACAGTCAACTTCCAGAAGCTTCTACATTCTGCCCAAATCCCTAAAGTAAGATTTACAAAGGTCCTGGTTATCTGTTGAAAGCAATAGAAAGGACTAAAACACTATTAAATGCTTAAATCAATCATCCTGCTAGTTAATACACCATCTCAAGGGAGAGGAGAATTTTTTTTGCTAGTCATTATCTCCAGCTCAGTAGTTCTAATACACATTTAAAATCACAATATTTTAATATTGAAGGATATTGGAGACTGCCTAGTGAAACTTTAAATACTAAGATTACGAGTGCATTAGCAGCAGAAGGTGATACTGGGACCAAATATTTTGGCTCTGTGTTCTGTATATTTTCTACTGAATTCTCCAAAAACAAACCACACAATTCCCAAAAGAAACCCAGATTTCAGGTTAATTTCCAGTTCCAGAATGTAAGCAGATCTTATGTAACGGGTTTTTTTGGTTTGTTTTGTTTTTGTTTGGATAATCAAAAAAAGCATAGTCCATTGTGGTGCTTTTAAGAAGAAATTGTCAAGTTGTATTAAAAGATAGTAACTCTAAAACTAATATATGTATGGGTGATTAGCAAAATAAAATCTAAGATCATGTCAAATTCAAATGCTTTCCATAATTTTTTATGGAAAAAAAATTTCCATATATATTTTTTGTGATATTTAAACACTTAATTTGCCTTTCTGTTTTGCTAAAACATTTTCCGGTCTCAATGGGTATGTTTTCTTTTCTTATTGTGTAGGGAAGACTTAATCATATACTTGTTTTAAATGGGTTGGAAAGTTGGGAATTTGACTTCAGCTTAACTTTGCCATTGTGCAGCCTGTTCCTATACCTGATGTGAATTACTTATTGTTTGAAACCATGGTTGGGTTTCGTGTATGTAGGTGATCCTAGGCCTTACTCTGTGCTTGGGCATCTAACTAAATGTCATTGATCTGAGTTCATATTTGGAGCTTATCATATTGCCTATCAATTTTATAATATAGAACACTTAAGGTAATTATCAATTATTATCTGCATTACTGAGTTGGGTTAATTGGAGACTCAGCACTGCTAGGACACTCTCAAACCGCAAATTAATGGTTAACCTGGGCAGTGGTATAGAAATTAATACACTTACTTTCACACCATCGGTCAATGCTTACTTCAAGAAGCTTCTAGAAAGATGATCAGTATTAATTTTGAAATATTTAGGTATTTTTGGAAAGTCAAGGAATTGAATTAAATCCACCAGAGACAATGGCTCTCGACCCTTACATTGAACTCCGGAAACAGCCTCTTCGTAAGTATGTCACTCCGTCGGACTTTGATCAGCTCAAGCAGTTTCTCGCCTTTGACAAACAAGTAAGTGACCCGAGCACCTTAGTAACTGTACTCCTTGCCAAATGTAACAGTGTTTATTAGCAAGCTGCTTGGGCAGATGTGTGTGTGTTTGGAAACTTTACATCTATAATGTCACCATTCGAATACAGTGCTATTTTGCTAGTTTCATAGAGAGTCAGAGGTATAGGAATGCCTCAGTTTTGTATTAGAGATCCAGCGAAGATCGTGGAGTTGTAGCGAGTTCCATTGAACTTTTAAATCTTAAAGCATTCCTGAGCCACATCTGCTTCCCACTTTACATTTCCAGCCAGCAACTTCTTTCCCAAATATGAATTAATCTCATAAAATTCAGTGGGAAACTTAAGTGAATTATTGATAAATTTCAAAGGTATTGCAGATATGTGAGTTTCTAATGTTAGAATAGTAATGTCACAGAAATCCCACTGCAGGTGCTTCCTGGTTAAATTTTCTGTTAATGTGTAAGTACGGATAAGTACAGAATGCTCTGAGGATTTTCCAACTCTGTCCAGCCTTCCTACCATGTCTGTTGTGGGCTTATGTAGAGAACAGATTTCAGTCTTCCTCTGTGTGCTAAAGGGCAAGAGAAAACAGAGAGATCAAACTCAATGCTTCTTTGCTGCTTTTTTCTCTCAGAAATGTCATTCCTTTGAGTTCAGAAAGTTTTACCTAGCATGATCGTAGTTTTTTAAGGACACTATTTTACCGATCATATGTCTGTTATAATTTTGTATTTAAAGATTGTGTTGTTGATACTGGTAGTACTAGAAGATAAATGTTGATGGAACTAAAAAAAAAAGACTGATAAATGAAAATTCTTTCCATACTAATTGTATATAAGCCATTCACATGTATCTTTATTAATACAAATAAACCACTGTATACAGTATTTTTTGCTCTTTTAACTCATCTTCTCTTTCACTCCCTAATATTTTGGATCAAAGTGAATTCTTTCTCAGCACACATTTATAAGCCTATTAATATTTTCCAGCTTTGACATGTGATATGTAATTTCAGATATTTTTGTGTGTTTCATATTTCCTTTTTTATGAGCCATCTGCGATTGCTTCATTGTCTTTCTAGCTAATTTGTTTCATTATTGTCTGATATATAAATGCCAAAGTAACTAAGTGAAACTCTGCACTTGTACAACTCATATACAAGTCACTACTTTGGATTTCTCAAAGGTTCTTCGATTCTACGCAATCTGGGATGATACAGACAGCATGTTTGGTGAATGTCGGAACTACATCATTCATTACTATCTTATGGATGATACAATAGAAATTCGAGAGGTCCATGAACAGAATGATGGGCGAGATCCCTTTCCACTCCTGATGAACCGCCAGCGCATGCCCAAGGTTCTGATGGAGAATTCGAGTATGTTTGATTTGATTCCTCTTCTGATAATCGGGGCCCTTTTTCTGGACCTCAAAGGAGTTCCTTCATGTGGCCATTCCCCTTTGCACTTAAGAGCCTCTTGTGTTCTTGTAGGAACTCGAAAAACTCCTTTTCTTAATTTCTCTCCTTTACTTGCCCCCTTGGTCTCAGCTCACCTCTAAAATGGTCAGGTGGAGATGACTGATGCCCAAATCAGGAAACACCACTGACACAGCTGTGGGAGACTCATTACAGTGTGGAGGAGCAAGGCATCTGAACCGAAGCAACTTAATATCAGATTTTTAGTGCATTTCTAAAGCAAGCTTATTTTCATTCAGAGATACAGCTAACCACGTCCTTATGGGCTTTCTTGGCTTTGCTTCTTGCCTCAACTATGAGGTGAAGGAAGTTTCTGTTTGGGATAATTTAAGATTGGAAAAGGTGTGTCTGTGACTCATAGAGGTGGAGCTTCATTGTATCAACCCTTGTTCTTTCCTTGCTGGTATAACCCAGTGGGTTGGAGAGTGAGGATGCAGCAAAACACAGGTGACACCCGCCATCCATCAGTATTCCTCTGGGATACTTAGGTTTTCTTAGTAGTTTAAGAATTTTCTCTTACAAAAATGTCATCTTGGTGTCATGTAATGATATCTCTCGTGCTTGGATGGCTAAAAGAATTCTGTAAATTTTCATTGAATTTTTTTGTCCCCTTTATTCTTTTTTTTTTTTTTTTGATTAAGGAGATAAGAAATTCCAGGTATTGAGCAAGAGGTTTATCTTAGAGATTATAAACAAATCAAGATTAGAGGCTATAAACAAAGTGGCAGTCTGAAGGCTGAATTCAACCCACCCGCATGTATTTCTTGGCCTGCAGTGTTTTTTCAAAATATGCAGTGTCATTTGGGGCCAAAGAATTGAAGGTTTCTGTTATTGGGAGAGTGGATAAACAAAATGTGATGAAGGTATACCTTGACAGATATGTAGTAATTAAAAGCAATAAATAAAATGTACACGAAAGCAGAGGGATGCATCTGAAAAACATAGTGTTCTATAGAAAAAAATTGAAGAGCTGTATAATGCAGTAACATTTACATAAAATAAAATGTGCACAAAACAATGTACATAATACACATATAATAAAAAGCTGCATATTAGAATGGTTGCATGTGAGGTAGAGGAAAATGAGATTGGGGGAAAGAATAAAAGGGAATAAAAACTGTCATCATTTTAAATTAAGAGAGTTAACATTAAAAATCTCTTTTTTTGAAAAATGAGAATAATTGCTAACACAGCTTGTATTCTCAGCTAGCAACAACTGGATCTAAACCCTAGTTCAACATCATCTGCTGCCTACCATATTCTTAATACCTAGCCTCCTATACAACCCTCTTAGAGTTCTAAGGCATTGGTGCTAATGTACTAATTTTGGCCTTTTATATTATTTAAATGAGCCTGAAATTCTTGCCATCTGGAGCTAATAAAAGTTAGATTTAGATTGCAATAAAAGAATGGGGAAGTAGTCAGGGTAACATGAAAAAAAAGTGTCACTAAAACTGAATTCCTTGAAATCTCAGGATCCATATTTGTTTCTGCCATTATCAATGTGACCTATGTTTAAAATTTTCAATAGGTAAGCATCCTGTTCTATAGCTTCTCAAACTTGAACAAGCTTTTCACCAGTTATATGGAGAGGTAGTGTGGTGACATATATATAGTTCTTTTAAAAGATAGGAAGCATATCCTGGTTGGTGTGGCTCAGTGGATTGAGCACCAGACTGTGAAGCAAAGGGTCACTGATCTGATTCCCAGTCAGGGCACATACCTGGGTTGTGGGCCAGGTTCCCAGTTGGGGGTGCCCAAGAGGCAACCACACATTGCTGTCTCTGTCTTTTTCTCCCTCCTTTCCCCTCTCTTTAAAAATAAATAAACAAGCAAACAAACAAACAAACAAATAAATAAACAAACCTTAAAAAAAAGGAAACATCATTTGGGGAAAGTTATTGTTAGTCGAGCAGTAGAGGGCTAGAAAAAGCGAAGCTTCCATCAGCTAAATAATTGCTTTAAACTAGAACTGTGGTGTTAAAGAGGTGACGTTTGACTCTTAAAGGCATTTATCTAATGGATGATTTTTACTAAATTCAATTAAACAAGAGTTAAATATGTGCTATGGGCACAGTTCATGTGCTAAGTGCTCTGGAGGATAAAGTGGAAATGTAATTTCCAGACGGAGAATCCCTGTTCTTTTTTTTTAGTATGTGTAAACTTTTAAAGTACATTTTATTGATTATGTTATTACAGTTATCCCATTTTTTTCTCTCCTTTATCCCTCTCCACCCTGCACCCTTCCTCCTACCAGCATTCCCCCGCCTTAGTTCATGTCTGTGGGTCATATATGTAAGTTCTTTGGCTTCTCCATTTCCTATGCTATTTTTAATCTCCCCCTGTCTATTTTGTACCTACTATTTATGCTTCTTAGTCCATGTACTTTTTCCCCATTCTCCCCCTCCCTCTCCCCACCAATAACCATCCATGTGATCTCCATTTCTGCGATTCTGTTCCTGTTCTAATTGTTTGCTTAATTTTTGTTTTTGTCTTTTTTTTTAGATTCAGTTGCTGATGGCTGAGTTTGTTATCATTTTGGTGTTCATAGTTTTGATCTTCTTCTATTTCTTAGATAAGTTCTTTTAACATTTCAGGAAAGGGCTTGGTGATGATGAACTCCCTTAACTTGACCTTATCTGGGAAGCACTTCATCTGCCCTTCCATTTTAAATGATAGCTTTGCTGGAGAGAGTAATTTTGAATATAGGTCCTTGCCTTTCATGCTTTGAATACTTCTTTCCAGCCCTTTCTTGCCTGCAAAGTTTCTTTTGAGAAATCAGCTGATAGTCTTATGGTAACTCCTTTGTAGGTAACTGTCTCCTTTTTTTGCAGCTTTTAAGATTTTCTTCTTATCTTTAATCTTGGGTAATGTATTGATGATGTGCCTTGGTTTATACTTTCTTGGGTTCAACTTCTTTGGGACTCCCTGAACTTCCTGGACTTCCTGGAAGTCTATTTCCTTTTCGAGATTGGGGAATTTTTCATTGGTTTTTCAAATAAGTTTTTAATTTATTGCTCTTCTTCTTCTCCTTCTGGCACCCCTATGATTCAGATATTGGAACACTTAAAATTGTCCCAGAGGTTTCTAAGCCTCTTGTCATATTTTTTTAATTCTTGTTTCTTAATTCTGTTCTGGTTGAATGTTTGTTTTTTCCTTCTGTTCCAAATCGTTGATTTGAGTCCCAGTTTCTTTCCCTTCACTATTAGTTTCCTATATTTTTTTCTTTATTTCACTTTGCATACCCTTCACTTTTTCCTCTATTTTGCATCCATATTTAATCGTTTTTGTGAGCATCCTGATTACCAGTGTTTTGAACTCTGCATCTGATAGGTTAGCTGTCTTCCCACTGCTTAGTTCTTTTTCTTGAGTTTTGATTTGTTCTTTCATTTGTGCCATCTTTCTTTGTCTTGGCGCACCTGTTATGCTGAAAGGAATGGAGCATTAGCTATGCACCAGGGAAGGTCCATCCACTTCGGTGCATTGTGGTGCTGTCTGTGGGGGAGGGATCTGAGAGGGAACAATGCTGCTTTCTCAGCTCTCGCCCCACTTTCAGTCACTTCCCCTGCTACACACAAGCAAATTGGGCTCTTTGGCTGCTGATTCCCAGGTAGGTGGTTTTGTGTACATTCTAGGACCCAGTGGGTCTCTCCAAAGAACTCTCCTGTGAGGCTGGGAGTTTCTCCCACTGCCACGACCCTCACAGGTTTTTACAGAGGTTTTGAGGCCTTATTTCCCTACACTGGAACCCTGGGTTGTGCAGTCTGCCCCGCTCCCCCGTTGTTCCTCCTGACTTAACTGCACAAATGTAGGACCACCTGGTCTGCCAGCTGCCACCTTGCTGTGCATCCTCACCACCCTGGCTGCCTGTCTCCGCCCCTCCTACCAGTCTGAATGAATGTTTCTTCTTTAACTCCTTGGTTGTTGGACTTCTCTACAGTTCAATTTTCTGTCAGTTCTAGTCATTTTTCCAGTTTTAAATTTGTTGTTGTGCTTCTTTTGTTTGTGCAAAAAATCATAGTATATCTAGCCCTGGCTGGTGTAACTCAGTAGATTGAGCTTGGGCCTGCGCACCAAAAGATCACAGTTCGATTCCCAGTCAGGGCACATGCCTTGGTTGCAGGCCAATTCCCAGCAAGGGGATGCATGAGAGGCAACCATACATTGATATTTCTCTCCCTCTCTCCTTCCCTTCCCTTCTAGAGATAAATAAATTAAAAAAAATTTTTTTAAAAAGCATAGTATATCTATCTATGGCTCCGTCTGGCCAGAAGTCTAGAATCACTGTCCTTATGTTACTTCTAGTGATGGGGGAGGCAAGTCACAGAAGTAAACAAAGCTGTTAAACAGTAACACAAGTGTACATGATTATCTGATTATATAACTTAGACATGTCATCTAGACAGAGCTCAGAAGAAGAGATGCGAGCTAATAGGAATAAAGAGGACTCCGTGGCAGAACTGGGATTGGACCCTGATTTAGAATGGCAGAGAGCAAAGAGAAAGAGCAATTTAGAGAGAAGAAGAAGAGCAAAAGTTGGGAAGTCAGAATAAGTGTGGTATGTTTGGGGGTGTCCCGAAGACAGTGACTAGGCAGAGAGTTTGTGTTGAACAATATTAGGAAATTATGGGAATATGTTTCCAAAATTCTCTCCACCAGGGTCTTCTTTTAACTAAAGATAAATCAAAATTATATTCTTTGTTATGCATGGAGTTAAAATATCTAAAAGTTCTAATTTTACACATTCTAAAAGTTGCTTGTTGAAGATAATTACAGGTTACCAGTATGTGGTAGGTAATGCCAAACGAAGTGTATCTGGCTCACCAGAAGCCTTCTAATACTCAGCCGTTGAACCTAAGTCACTAGATTCTGAAAGTCTGTTCATTATCCTTTAAAAAGGCTTCCATTCTTTGATCTTGCCTTTTCCAGGATAAATACATATGTCAAATGACATAATAATTTATGCTGTAAATATTGGCAGCTTATTGTAGTAAATTATACCTGAAGAAAGTTCTAAAAATATAAATCCATGCCCACATATATCATAGTCAAACTTAAGAACACCCAATTCAAAAGATGGTAACAGCAGCTCCCAAGAACAAATTTACCCATACAGAACAGCAGTTATAGTGACAGCTAATTATCAGTAGCAATTGTAGTCACCAGAAGACAGTTTAATAATATCATTAAAATGTGAGAAAAATAGAATTTAGTATATAGAGAAACTGTCTTTCAAGAAGAAGGTGAAATGTACCTCCAGGAAAACAAAACAGATTTTACTAACAACAGATCCTTACTAGAAAAATTCTTGAATATACTTCAGATAGGAAGAAAATGACTCCAGAAGTAAGATCTAACATATAAGAAGTGATAAATAAATAAAATGACAAAGTGTGATAAATCTGAATGAACAGACTGAAGTAACAATGTTGAATTTGTGGGGGTTAAAAATATCAAGGTAGAAATAAATTATATTGCACTAATGACATAGAGGGGGATAATATTTTTAAACATTTTAATTAAATTTACTAGCAAAATTTGTTAATAATTATATACAAGTTTCAGGTGTGCAGTTCTATAATATATGTTCTGTATAAGGAGTACTTGCCGTTCAAAGTCTAGTTTTCTTCCGTCACAGTGTATTTGACCTCCTCACCTGCCTTCATCCTCCCCTATCCTACTTCCTTTCTGAGAACTACTATATGGTTGTTATCTGTATTATGAGTTTCTTTGTTTGTAAAAATCAAAACACATTCTGAAACAGGTATTTTAAGAACATACTTAAGATGTAGGGACATACAGAGGTCAAAAAAGATGTGTAAGCAAACAGCAAAAGAAACTGATAGTACTATATTAGTATAATACAAATAGATATTAGGACAAAAAATGTTGCTAGAAATAAAGAGGATCATTACATATTATAAGAATTTTGTTTACTAGGAAAATGTGGTAATTCTAAACTTGATGCAGTTAATAACATGGCTTCAAAACATATAAAGCAAAAATTTGTAGCACTATTATGCAAAGAATGAACAAATCCATAAAAATTGTGTGAGTCATTAAAACATTTCTTTTAATGACTATTAAAAGAGACAAATCAATAAGCATATATGTGAATAATATAATTATGAATATTCATTTAAGCAATATGTAAATGGATCAACACATGGAGAATTTCCTGTTTTTTCCTTTTTTAACATTTTTTATTTTTTATTTTTTATTGTCATTCTATTACAGTTGCCCTAGTTTTTCCCCATTGCTCTCCCTTGCCCCACCCACCCCCTGCTCCCACAATCAATCCCCACCCCGTTGTCCATGTCCATGCATCATTTATGCTTATTCTTTAACCAGGTCCTTCCCCTTCTTTCCTCCCTTATCCCCTGCCCTCCTCCTCTGTCAGTTTGTTCTTTGTTTCCATGCCTCTGGTTATATTTTGCTTGTTTGTTTGTATTGTTCATTAAGTTGCTATTATAGATGAGATCATATGGTATTTGTCTTTCACTACCTGACTTATTTCATTTAGCGTAATACTCTCTAGTTCCATATATGCTGTCACAAAAGGTAAGAGTTCCTTCTTTCTTTCTGCTGCATAGTGTTCCATTTTGTAAATGTACCAAAGTTTTTTGATCCACTCATTTACTGATGGGCACTTAGGCTGTTTTCAGCACTTGGCTATTGTAAATAGTGCTGCTGTGAACATTGGGGTACATAGGTTCTTTTGAATTGGTGTTTGAGGACTCTTAGGGTATAATCTCAGCAGTGGAATTTCTGGGTCAAAAGACAGTTCCATTTTTAGTTTTTTGAGGAAATTCCATACTGTTTTCCACAATGGCTGCACCAGTTTGCAATTCCACCAACAGTGCACTAGGGTTCCCTTTTCTCCACAACCTCGCCAGCACTTGTTGTTTGTTGATTGGTTAATGGTGGCTGTTTTGACTGGTGTGAAGCAGTATCTCATTATGGCTTTAATTTGCATCTTTCTGATGACTAGTGATGTCAAATGTCATTTCATATGCCTATGGGCCTTCCGTATGTACTCCTTGGAGAACTTTCTGTTCAGGTCCTTTACCCATTTTTTTCATTGGATTGTTTGTCTTCCTGGTTTTGAGCCACATGCATTCTTTATATATTTTGGAGGTCAAACACTTGTCCGAGGTATCATTGGCAAATAAATATGTCTTCCCATATGTTTGGTGCCCTTTTCATTTTGATGATGTTTTCTTTAGCTATGCAGAAGCTTTTTAATTTAATTTAACCCCATTTGTTTTCTATTTTTTAAGTACAAATATGACACATAACTGATCATTCTTAACAAATTTTGAAGAATGGGCACCTTATACAATATTTTCTGATTTCAAAACAATGAAACTAGCATTCAGTTTTGGAAATATAACAAAAAAATTATTTGGAAATCAAAAATCACATTTCTAAATAATCTATGAGTAAAAAGAAAACTCAGAAAATACTTAGAACTCAATGACAGCAAAAACTCCCTCCAGTCTTTTAGATACATCAAAAGTGCTACTTGGAGGAAGATTCATAGACTTAAATGTTTTTTTAAGAAAGAAGAAAGACTGCAAAAATAAGGTAGGCGTTCTTAAAAAGTTAGAAGTGACAGAATGAATCTGAAGAAATTAAAATGGAGGAAATAATAAAATAAGAGCCTGAAAATGATGAAATTGAAAACAAAAGTAACAGATTTGTCAAGTCAAAAGTTGTTTCTTTGAAAGAACTAATAAAATGACAAATCATTGACAAAATTTATCAAGGGAGAAAAGAAAGAATGCACACATACACAATATTAAAAATAAAAAAGCCATAGGAATAAAACAGAAAATAAGGGAATAATGCTAACAGCCTTATGCCAATACACATGAAAGCTTTGGTGAAATGAGCAGATTTTTAGAAAAAATTAATTTGTTCAAGAAGAGATAAAAATCAAATGTCTTTAGCATTAAAGAAATGGAATCAGATAAAAGTGTTCCTACAAATAAAACATCAGGCTCAGATAATTTTTCAGTTTTGCCAAATATTTCAAGAACATATAATTTCAAGCTTAATATAAATTCTTTCATAGAAAAGAAAAAGAACTTAATACATTCAAGACAACCAGTAAAATTAAAGACCATGAGAAAAAGTACTACAGTCTTCACTCATGAACATATTTGCAAAAGACCTAAACATAATATCAGTAAGTGAAATCCAGCATTATATGAAAAAGACAATTGCTGAACAAATACAAATGCATACACACACAAACACCAGATCTCCTGGAACATTGTTTACTGAGGGAAATTTGTGGAGTCATGAACTGGGTACCCCATTGCTGATGACTTCCTGGGGTACCTCAAAGGGCTCTAGGAGGGTTAGGCACTGGACACTGGGAGGAGGGACTTTTAAGATACACAACTGAGGAAATATCGGCCTTTCTTTTAGCATGATGAAGTACTTGAGTGCACACCTTTCTGTCTGATGTAACAAAACCTTAGCCTCCTTCCCTACATTCCCCTCTTAGCAATTAATAGGAGAATACCAGCCTACTTCTCATGCCCCTGAGATCAGAGTTCTGTGGCCAGGTTTTGGGGTTAAAGCCATACAATGTGGCTCATTACCAGAACTGACTATCTTATGATTTCCCCGGAGGCCAGGCTACAGGCGTCAGTCTTAAGCAAGTCAATCCTTAGTTCTCATAAAGTAGTGTGACAAAACTGGATTTATTCCAAAAATGCAAGTTTCGTTGTACATCTGAAAATGTTGATTCCCCAGATGTACTAATTACTGTAATCATCTGACTGACTGTCCCTGCTTCCTGCCATGGGACTAGGTCAGGTTGTCCTAAGAGCAGTGATCACAACTGAAGTGAAACTACCATCTGTGTGATTGTTAGTATCTGTTACCAAAACAGAATGTCGTCTTCCCCAAGGCAGGAACGTTATTGATGTTGTTAATTGTTGTAATTTCAGTATTTAGTGGCATACCTAGTACGTGATGTATGTGGTCACTAATAGTTTGTTGGATGAAGGATTAAATGGGTGGGAGGTTGAACTAAATGACTTGGATTCGACCTATATGTAATACTCTATAGAAGGACATGTATTTTTTCCTCCAGGGATGATTCTTTCTGAACATTGATTCTGAGAAGGTTAGTGACCTGCACTGATAGTTGGAGCTGAATATGGGGGAGAGATACTTTACAAAAACCATCTGGGATACTCTTTATGAGTCCTGCCAACAGATGGAAATACACAGCATTATGTTCTTCTGGGAGTGTAGAGGAGGCCCTGACCTTTGACCACACTCCCTCAGGTTCTCAAGAACATCCTGCTGTTGTGTGCCCATCTTCATTCCTTCCTCTTTCCTCCCTCTCTGCTGTAATGTGTTAGAGACCTTCCCTCAGTGTGTGCTGGAAATCTCTGATCAGGAGGTGTTGGAATGGTATACTGCCAAAGACTTCATCGTTGGGAAACCGCTCACCATCCTCGGGAGAACTTTCTTCATTTACGATTGTGATCCATTTACTCGAAAGTATTACGAAGAAAAGTTTGGAATCTCTGATTTACCACGTATTGACATAAGCAAGAAGGAACCACTTCCTGTGAAACAGGTAATGGAACACTAGTTCTGGGCATAAGGAAAAAATTAATCTTTTGATTGGCAGAATAAATTACTATATCCATCTACATAATTAGAAGACTGTAAGACGGGTAAAAAAGAGAGAAAATACAACTGTTCATGTTAACTTGAAAAATGTCCATAACTTTTTTAAGTGAATGTGTATGCATGATTTGGTGCTATTTTATAAGCTACTGTTCCCAATATCTGCTTATGCACACTGAGGAAGAGAGCAGGATGAATACGCACTTGCACCGGTAACAGTGTTTAATTTGAAATGTGGGAGGGCAGTGGGAGAGGGCAAGGGAGCTTTGTTTTATATTCTGTGTGGTTTTATTTTCTCTTTTTATACAAGCCTTGTATTACTTTTATAGTATTTTTCATTTTAATTGTTTGAAAAGACATCTTTTAAAATTCCAGGCCCCTAGGGCGTTCCATTGTTTCTTGCCTGTTTTTCAAACCCTTTGACTTAAAAACTGGTTAACAGCAAAGCAAAAACCAGTTAATTGAAGATGTTGGAAGATGACTTTCTGTCATTGCAACATAGCTTTCCTTAGAGTCACAATGAACAAAAAAATTAGTTTGGAGTACCACAGAGTTCCACTCTGATCTGAGAGAAAGTCTGTGGTGCTTTTAATGCACTGAAATCGTAAACTGATAAACTTGAGCCTTCAGAGAGGCTCAGCCACATTAATGAATTTCAAATGAGAATTGCATGTGTTAAAAATTATACGTTATACAACCAATTCAAGTAAGGTATCACAGTATCATGGACTGAAAGCACAGGTATTTTTCTACCTCTTTGGGTTGGAAGCCCCTTAGACAACCTCTTCATTGCCCATGTATGATGTAAGGTGTTAATACCTCTGGCTCATCTCCTTGTTGCCACCGTATGTGTAAAACAATGTCTTGGGCTCTTTCTTTTCAAAGAGAGCCATGAATGGAAGGATGGAGTTAACAAATTGCTCCAGCCCAGGCCCCTGCCTTCTTCCCATCTGCTGCCTGTGCTGCATGAACATAATCTCCGCTGTGCGGAACTGTGTGTGGTGCTGCAGTGAAACATCCTGTTTCACTGCCCTGAACCTTTGCTGATGCTCTTCTGCCTGCTCCAAACACTTTTCCATCATTTTTTCATATGGCTCTTTTTTTTTTTATCCCTCAAGACTCAGCATAGGCTTTCTCTCTTCCAAGAGGAAGTCTCTGAAGCTCCAGGCAGACTGGCTATTTTCTCTGTGTTCCTGGGGTACTTCACAGGTACTCTGTGCCTCTCCCCACTAATACTTCTCTATGACATTAAAATATCTGTTCCTGCATCTCCTCTACTAGACCATAAATTCCTTGCAGGAAGGTACTACATTCTGTATATCTTTGTGTGCCTAACCTAGCACCTAACCTGGCGCCTAGCAAACAGTATGTTTCTTGAACTAGGCTGAAGATTGCCTGTGAAGTTTGTGCAGTCATACCTCGGTACTCCTCGGCTTCAGACCTCATCAAACCAGGTGCCCGTCACATTGGGAAGAGAAAAAAATGTTGCAGCACTCAGTGCTTGCTCAGGACTCGTCACACTTACTAGAACTTGTATGAGTCACAAGGCCACCCTGCAAAAGAAAATCCTGCATCACTTGGTACTCATCAGTTTTGACACTCGTCATGAGTTCTAGAACCAGTTAACAATGAGTACCAAGGTACCACTGTATTTGCTTCCCCAAAAGACAAGTGATGTCTTTAGAACCAAGGTTTCATAAAAACAATTATGGAAAAGACTTTGGAGTTAGGTACGCTGTGTGTTCCCAGGGGGCAATAAAACTTCTGGAGGCAAGCGTGGGTGGTGATTATACAGTCATGTGCCATGTGATGATGTTTGGGTCGGCAGTGGACCACATGCACAATGGTGGTCCCATAAGATTACAATAGAGGTGAAAAACTCTTGTCACCTAGTGATGTTATATTGTGTTTGTGGTGATGCTGGTTTAAACAACCTACTGTGCTGCCAGTCCTTTAAAAGTATCACACATACAATTATATACAGTACATAATACTTGATAATGATAATAAGTGACTATGTTACTGGTTTATATAGTCACTATACTATGATTTTTATTGTTATTTTAGAATATTCTACCCACATAAAAATGTCTGTTGTAAAATGCCACAGCAGCCTGTTATGTTGTATGTTCACTGCATCTTTGGCTGCATCATTTTCTCTTGTGATTAACTTAATGTTGTTTTGTTCGTCGTGGCCTCTAAGCATATAAATCTGCTGCTAATGTGGCCAGTTAGAGGCGACTTCAAGTGACTGATCTGGAAACGAAATTTAAAATGACTAAGTATATGAAGGTAGAAAATTAGCGATGGTTACAGCTCTGGCTGCAGTCTTGAAGAACAGAACCAAAGCTGTGAAACCAACAAAAATTAGAGAAGGGCCTGTGTCGGACATGGAGAAACCACTAATGACCCGGACTGAAGACCTGACACAGAAGCGTATCCCTCTCAGCACCATGAGGATCACAGCCAGAGCCAAAAGTTTGTGATGTTCAAAGAAAAGGCTGGTCCCAACTATAATGTGAATTTACTGATAGTTCTAGGTGATGTAAACAATTCAATTTGATTATTGTTATTTATCATATAACGTGAAAGTGAATGTTGAGTCTGTGAGTGCTGATGCAAGGGCCATTGAAGAATTTTTGGAAACTCTAGATAAGCTGATTGTGGAACAAAATTAACTGCCAGAGTAAATATTCATTATGAACAAAACCTCCCCATTCTGGAAGCAGATGCCTGAAAGGACTTTCATCTATTAGGAGGCCAAGTCAATGCCAGGTTTCAAGGTTCTCAAGGACATGATAACTGTCTTGCTCTGGGGCAACATTGCAGCTACAACTTGAAACCCTTTTTGATCTGGCACAGTGAGAACCCCAGGGCCTTTGAACGTATCAGTAAATCATGCACTGTCAGTGCACTTCGGGAACAGTAGGAGGTCATGGATGACCCAGCTCCTCTTCCAAGATGCTGTCTTGAATTACAGTTACTATGCTAGCAAAATGGAGAAGTACTTTTTTGGAGAATAACATAGAGATGTTGCTTACTGATAATGCTCCTGGACATTCTCCTTTTATAGGTAGCCTTCATCCCAAAATTCAAATGGTATTTCTCCCTCTAAAACCCTCTTTTTGATGCAATGAGTGGATCAAAGAGTTATAGCAGTTTTCAGGGCCTGCTACCTGAGGAGGACCTTTGACCAGGCTATTGCTGCAATTGAGGGAGATACTGAGAAGGCATTGACACAATTCAGGGGGGACTGCAGCACCTGTTACTGCATCAAGAACCTTACTGGAGCTTAGGGTGAGGTAACAAGAAGTATATGTATGGCCTTTGGAGGAAGATGCTCAAGAGAGTCATCCATGACTTCAAAGACTTTGTGAAGAATGAGGAGGTTATGAAAATCAACAAGACTGTGGTGTGGATGAGGATGACACTGAGGAGCACCTAGTCTTGGTTCCTGAGGAGTTAATGAATGAAGAGTTGCTGGGACTGGATCTGGAATGTGTATATGAAGAAGAGGCAGGAGAAAAGGGAACTGCAGGAAGAGAAAAAGAACCCAAGAAAAATCACAGTGAGGAGTTTAGCAGAAGCTTTTGCAGACCTCAGTAAGCATCTTTAAAAGTTGGAAAACCTGGACCACAACACCAGAAGATTTTCATTAATGGAGAGGAATGTTCACGGTTCCTCATCTGTTTATAAGCAAATTTATGATGTAAAAAAGAAACAAACCAAGCAAACCAGCATAGACATACATATTTCTGAAGAGACTGACACCTCCTCAAGAAGAGCCTCAGGCAGGTCCTTCAGGAGGGATTCTAGAAAAAGGCATGGCTATCATAGGAGGCGGCAGCGCCATGAGCGTGACTGTTCCTGACCTTCCAGTGGAACAAGAGGTGGAGGGGAAAACAGTGATACCATTGATCCTCACCCTGTGTAGTCCCAGGCTACTGTGTGTGGTGTGTCTTAGTTTTCAATGAAAAAAATTAAAAGTTTTGAAGAAATTTAAAAATAGAAAAAGCTTATATTAATAAAATAAGAAAAATATCTTTGTATAGCTGTACATTGTGTTTGTGTTTAAGCTCCGTATTATTACAAAAGTTGAAATGTTTTAAAATTTCAAAACTTTATAAAGTGAAAAGGTTATAGTAGGTTAAAATTAATTTATCATTGAAGAAAAATATGTTCTTATAAACTTAGTATAGCCTAAAAGTACTGTGTTTATAAAGCCTATGACAGTGTACAGTAGTGTCCTAGGTGCTCATGGACTCACTCAGAGCAACTTCCAGTCCTGCAAGCTCCATTCTTGATAAGTGCCCTATACAGGTGGACCATTTTTTGTCTTTATATCATATTTTTACTGTACCTTGTCTATGTTTAGAAGTGTTTAAATGCACAAATACCATTGTGTTATTTGCCACTTTGTTATTACAATTGCCTACAGGATCCGGGACCGTGATATGCCGTACAGGTCTGTAGCCAGGGCCAATAGGCTGCTCCATGTAGCGTAGCTGCGTTGTTGGCTACACCGTGTGGGTTTGTGTGCGTGCGCCTCATGATGTTCACACTGTGCTGGAACCGCCCAGTGGTGCATTTCTCAGAGCATATTTCTGCCACTAAGTGACACATGAGTGTACCTCCTGATCTCAGGTTTTTTTTTTTACCTGATAGAATTCCTTACCAATGAATGTGCTCATTATGAATTATAATGAAAACCTAGCCTCGCTCTCAATTTTTTTTGGCAACATTTGATGGAGTATATAAGAAAAATACTATGGGAACAGATCTAGATTTTGATCAAGCAAACTGTTCCACCACTTTAGATTATAGATAAGTACAGTATAAGATAGCAGTCCAAGAGACTTGCCAGAGGTCATATTGCGAAGTTCAAGGATGATTCTATTAAACATCAAGGAGTTTCACCGAACCGGGAGGGGATGGGGAAGGACTGCAGCAGAGTGGTGCAAATTTTGTAGTGAGTGGCTTAGATACGTCCTTTGAGCTGATAAAAGCTTTTCGGTCCTAGAATACTTCTCCCCACCCACTCTCATTACCATAGTCTTTTTTTCTTTTAACCTGTCTTCCAAAGAGAGAAAAGGAGGAAAGGTTTGGATAGAGAGGAGAGAGAAGTGAACACTGTAGATTTTGGTTTGTTCGTTTTGCCCTATCTCTGCCCTTCTGTATAATAAAACTATTCTACCTCCATACATATGGCACATTAATTACAGTGTTTGGTGTGGGGTTTTTTTCCTAGCAAATTCTCTATGACAAATAATTATATTACAAATAAAATCTCCCTGCCTACAGGGAAGTCAGTGTTGGAAATGAGTAGGAGAGCTCCACTTACACTTACAACAGCAAATACGGTTTAGCTCTCCTTAGTCTTCACACTCAGTCATGTAAGTCCTGAATGACGTAGTTGTAAAGCAGGGATGGGCTGCTACACCAGGTTAGAGGGGCTTCGTTAGGCTCGCAGGGGTGTCCAGCGTCTCTGGGCCACGCTGGAAGAAGGAGTTGTCTTGGGTCACACGTTAAATACATTGTGACATGTAATCACAAAAAAAAAAATCTCATAACATTTTAAGTAAATTTACGACTTTGTGTTGGGCCATATTCATAGCCATCCCAGGCCCCATGTGGCCCACAGGCTACAGGTTGGCCACTCCTGAGCTGGAGCCAAGCTAATCACCAGGGACAGAAGTGGACATGTGGTGCATATATCCAGTTTGAGAATCACGACATTTGTAGGTCAGGCCGGCCTGCTAGATTGGGAATAAGTAAACATGGCCATGATGGCCAGAGGTGTTCTAGCTCAGGCTGGCTCCCCTATGGAGACGTGCCGCTGGGGAAGAGGAAGACACCAGGACTGGAAGAACTAATCTGCTGCGTAGCTGGTCCCTAAAAGCAGTATATGAGGGATTGTGGCACTCTCACACTTGGTGTGTACCTGCTTTGTTAGGAAGGCCTGGGCAGAAACTCTGGCCGGTGGGTCATCTGAGCAGGAGTATCTAGGAGCGATAACCTCCATAGTCAGAGGAGTGGCTCATCTAGGTTGAAACAGGACCCGCGCAGTAGCTTGGAGTGTGGTATGAGAAGCCTGGTGCCAGGACTCCAGGCATACGGGCTGAAATTTAGGGAATGTCTTCATTACAAGCAGGGCAGATGAGGTGCGACTCAGGAAAAGCAGGTAGAAGCCTGTTGAAACACAAAAGGAATTTGAGAGGAAGGCGCTCAGAGGCTTGTAGCTACCTCCCTATTTTGAAATTCCTTAACTTCCACCCCCATGCCCCAGCCAGGTTGCTATCCTTGGGTGATGATGCCGATGCATGTCTGCCTAGACGCCAGAGTATGCAAGGCTTATCAGTATTCAGTGTGTCACCCCAGGTCCCTCTGGTCATGGCAACTTGTATATTCATTGAGCAGTGGTGTTTGTAGCAAATTAGGTCATTGCCCACCCACTGGATCCACTAGTCATGTTCCAGCCATGACGATCACATTACTACAGCCCTGGAAAGTGAGTCCAGGGCCAGTGTTCCAATCACGGCACCTTGAAAGAACATAGCAGAGTCACTGGTGGAAGGAGCATCCTGTTTCAGATGGACCAGGAAACATACAGACTAATTTGTTAAAGTGCCAGAATATAATTCATAAAATGATTTAGGGAAGGTATCCATGAGTGAAAAGCAAGGTGCAAGCTGAGTTAGCTAAGAAAGCACAGCCAGGAGTCAGAAGGAAAGAACTCTGCTGCATTCTGGCTAGCCCTGCTGAGAGAGGGGAAACTGGCTTCTAGACTACTTAGGCCTGGAGACAAATCCTAGCACCCTAGAGTGATGCTCTCAGCTCTTCATGGAACCTGAAGGAAAAATACAAACTCATCCTATACTTCTGCACTACTTACCAAATAACCTTCCCATCTGAAATTCATCCAGCGTGCTCCTTAACCAGGAAAAAGGAGTCCTGTATGAACAAGGAATTTGAATTCTCAGTGAGTATAGCTGTCATCCCTCTTCTGTGAGGCAAAACTCAAGAAATAAAAATATTAGAAATATGGAGGTAAATAGGAAAAATGAGCCAGGTCACGCTAGGATGATCACAAGGGCCAGGACTGGGCCTGGGAGAAGGGCCTGCTTTGGCAGTGAGGGGTCAGTGGGCCTCAGCGAGTGTCACTGTAGCCCTGAGACTCACTGTGTAGCATCGTCAGTCGTGTCTGTGAGGACGGTCATGGTACAAAATCTATCAGCAAAGAGGAATGGAATATGTGGTGTGTGTTTTTATGACTACATGTCTTCTAAACATTGTAATTTCTTTTAAATAAATGTCTTCTAGATTTTTTCCAAAGAAACTTAGTTACTTTGTAACTCTCCATACAAATAGCATCCTCTTTACTTCTTGTCTCCTGTTTTTCTTCAGGAATTACCTCCCTACAACGGTTTTGGACTAGTTGAAGACTCTGCTCAGAATTGCTTTGCTCTCATTCCAAAACCTCCCAAAAAAGATATTATGAAAATGCTGATGAATGATAACAAGGTGCTTCGTTACTTGGCTTCACTGGTGAGGATAATTTCTATGTACTAAGATTCTCTTCTGTCTCAACACCATGCCTTCAGGCAGGTTGGATGGTATTAATTAAGTATGGTGCCCCCAAACCAAGACCTAGCTCAAGGCCAGACTCCCACAAAAATCTTTCTTAGATCGTTGATCCTTGCCTGTACTCCTCAAACATTCACAGACCTTTTTTGCCTTGTTCACTGAGTAGTTTTGAAAGCCCAACTCGTATTTAATTTATTTATGTGTCTGCCCCTCCGGGGTAGTGATTTCCTTGAGGGTAGGGATTTATGTCTTACTAATTTTTTACCATTACCTGTCATGTCTAGCTTGATGTATTTTATATTCATCGGATGTAATGAATGGAATTATTTACTGACACCAGTTGAACTGATGTTGCCTTTGAGAAGGCACAGGGCTAGCGGTTGGGTGCACAGGCCGGGAAACAGATTCAAATTTGGGTATTTCACTCACGGTCTGAATTACCTGAGGCAAACTACTGATAAAAATTCAAAGGATAATGTCTTTACATTTTTTTAAAGTGTAGGAAAAGAAATAGAAGCACTTTATTTAGAACTACGGACATAAATAGCAGAAATTGAAATAAGTTACTTGTGGGAATAGGAATTGGGAGTGGGGGAGGGTCAGATGACTTTTCAAACTACAGGCAGACCTTGGAGAAACTGGGGGCTCAGCTCCAGACCCCGGCAATAAAGCAAGTGTTGCAATAATGTGAGTTGTAAACATTTTGCTGGTGGAGGGTCTTGCTTCCAAGCTGTGAGAAAGCATAATAAGGTCTGCGGAGTGCAATGAAGCGAAGCGCAGTAACACGAGGTGTCCCTGTATGTAGTACATGTATGTGAAAAATAAAAGTTAAATAATAACAGTTAGCTGATATGTTTTAGAAAATGCTGAACAAAGCTTTAAATAAAAAGGGGGTTCTATAACAACCAGAACACTCCATACCATATCAATTCTGGTTCATGAAGGTTTTACATTATGATTAAGTTCTTTGAGTTACCGTGAAAATTCAGTAGGCTTGTGGAAATGGGGTGTAGTAACTACAAACTCCTTGATGGCAGGGAACATGTCTTCCTACACTTTGTAGGTTCTCAGTAACTGTTGGTTGAATGGGTAAGTGAAGTTAGTTACACGCACACTATCCGTGAGCTAGGCAATGCAATATTATAACCATTTTCTCGTTCAGAACAAGAATTAGAGAGGCTAAGAGGTCTCAGTTCTGCTTAGACAGAGGCAGGACTAGAACTCACCTTTTTAACTTTCAACCCAGTATTTTTTTATTTAAAGAATATGTTCTTTAAATAAAGAATACATTTTATTGTACATTTTACTGTACAATGTACATAACTTAGAAATACAACAGTACATTCAGTATAAGCAATTCTAATACTGCCATCTTGTTGTGAGAGAGACGATAGGGAAAAGAGAATCACAGGTGTTTTTACTACAGAGAAATAGTTACCAAAGCCCTCAAGGAGGTGACTTGAGGAGTTGCCACCAAGAAGGAGGTTAGTGTGGAAAAAACTCTTATTCCTGCAGCTGTGAGAATCCTCAACCCAGCATCTTTTGGGTCAAGAGCCAGTGTACTGCTCAGGCTGTGAAAAGGGAAAGGACTCACATGAACATGTCAAGGGCATAGCTGTAGGCTTGCTTTCCTACCTGAAAATCCTGGGGAGAGCAGTATCAATACATAGTTGATTATAAAAATTGTGATGAATAATGTTAGATATTGCTAAGTGAGAAGAAAGAATACACTTATATTGACTACAGTCTTTTTTACTCACAAATAACCCAGGCAATTTTGTTATATCATAAAAGGTTGAAGATTAGATAATTTGGATCAGCCCACTTACTCAGATAACTAGAAAACTGGTGTGTGTGTGTGTGTGTGTGTGTGTGTGTCTACTGCTCGAGGGTGCTGAGCAACTAACAAGATGTGAAGAATCACTGAGCCAGAACCAGGAGATAATGAAAACGGTGAGGTGAGCCCGGCACATGGGGCCATATTTCCTCCGAGAAAGTTTGCTGATTCAGGAGAAGCACCTGTCAGAGCAAACTTTGGACTCTAGGGCCTCGTAAAGACAGAAGCACTTGGTAAACCTATGTGCTAATCCTTGAAGGGACTATTTTTTGGCTTTGAACTATCTCCATTCCAGAAATCAGACTAAGGTGATCCTAGATTACTAATGTCCCCACATGTCTAGCAGAAGCAAATGCAAATTCTCTAAAAATAGCATCATCCTAGGCTTCAGATTATTTCTGTAAATCATTTAATACACTGTATAGCACTAATTCAAAATAACAATGTTAATAAACAATATCTAGACAAAAGTCAAGATGACATGAGGGAAAATGAGCAGATACAACAGACCATGGGAATATATCTATAGGGGCATCCTGGTGTTACCACACTTAAAAAAAAACAGCTATATTTACTGTTTAAGGAGATAAAGGATAAGATTAGGAATTTCAGGAGAAAACTAGGAACAAAAAAAGTATTTCAGTTTTGATAAATTACCACAGTAATAGAATAAAAGAAAAAAATTAGATGCACAGAATTATTTAATAAAATTATTATCAGTTTAAAACAAAACTCTTAGTAATAGGGGATAAAAGGGAATGTTCTTAGTCCAATAAAGGATAACTATCAAAAATCTACGGCAGACAGCCCTGGCCAGAGTGGCTCAGTGGTTGAAGCGTCATTCCACAACCAGAGGGTTGTGGGTTCAGTTCCCCATCAGGGCCCATTTGTAGGCTGTGAGTTCCTGTCCTGATACGGTCATGTTCAACCCTGGTCTCGATGCATGTGAACACTGGTCCCGGTCCTGGCATGGATCCCAGGTCTTGGTGCATAGGAAGGAAACCAACCAATCCATGTGAGGGCTATGTTTCTCTCTTTCACTTCCTCTCTCCCTTCCTTTCTCTCTTTAAAAAAAAATTAAAAAAAGAAAAACAAATGAAAATGTCCTTGGGATGAGGATTTAAAAAATCTACTGCACACAGCATACTCAGTGACGAAGTGCTGAGATCGAACTCTTTGATATTAGGAACTAGGCAAGACTACTCTGTCTCCTTCTATTTGACTGGAGGTCTTAGCAATACAACTACAAGGAAAATAAAGGGTATAAGCATTGAAAAGGAAGAAATAAAACTGTCATTACCTAAATGAATGATTGACATGTAGAAAATGAAAAAGAATCTACATTTTATGTTAGTAGAGGCAATGTAAAAATACCAGCCAACAAAAAAAAAAAGTTAGAAAAATGCCATTTACCATAGCACAAAAAAATACTAAATTTCTAGGAGTAAAGCAAACAAAATGTATGTAGTACCTAACACATTACTGAGAGAAAATTAAAGAGCTAAATTAGTGGACATACCATGTTAACTGGTTAGAAAATTCAGTATTATTAAAAAATGGCCCCAAATTCATTTATGATTTCAAAGCAATTACAGTCAAAATCCCAAAGGGTCTTTATTTTTGCAGATTGACACACTGACTCTCTTATCTATGTGCAGATGTAAAGCACTTCCAAGAATAGCCAAGCCATTCTTGGAGAATGAGACTGATGGGTTTGCTTAACAACATATCACAATGTATTAGTAAAGCCATATAAAGTAATTAAGACAAGAGAGTAATTGTGCAAAGATAGCTAATTAAGCCAATGGAATAGATTAGACAGCCCAGAAAGACCCGCACACACTTAACATACGTGACAAATACGGTGCTGCCGATGATTTGGGAAAGGAAGGTCTTTTCAATAAATCATATCAGAACAATTAGATATCCATAAGGGAAACACCAAGGAAATATGGAAATCAGTTCTGGGTGAACTGATATAAGTGTAAAAGGCAAAGCAGTAAAATTTCTTAATAATAATATAATTTTAACCCTACAGTAGGGAAAGATTCTTTAGCAATACACAAAAAGCAGTAACCATTTCAAAACAAACATTTGACTACATTAAAATGAAGAGTTCATGTTTCTCAAAAAACACCAATAAGAGAGTAAAAAAAGGAAAAAACAGAGTGGGAGATGTTACTACAGAAATCAACTAGAATTTATATCCAGAATATCTAAAGAGCACTAAAATCATTTTTAAAAATAAGCAAGAAACTTGAGACAGCCATTTTACAAAAGAGGGTATCCAGAGGGCAAATAACCATGAAAAGGTGCTCAGCCTTTTTGGTGATCAGGGAAGTACAAATTATAACCAAAAATGAATTGCCTCTTCTCACCTACCAGGATGATTAATGAGTTGGTGAGAATATGGAACAAGAGGGAAATCTCATGCTATTAGTGACATACTCCCTTAGGAAAATAGTTTGGTAAAATCAAATATACCAGATTGTGCCAAAATAGTACACGTGTGTGCACTAGAGATAAAGAATATTCATAACAGCGTAATCCATGATACCAAAAATAAACCTAGATGCCTATCTATAGGAGACTGGAGAAATAAATTATGGCATATTTATACAATGATTTGAATTCTGTTCAGCAATACAAATTAATGAACTATGGCTACAAGTAACAAGGATAAGTTACATAAACATAATTTTGAATGTGAGAATTCAGGCACAAAAGAATATGTACATATTATATAATTTCATTTATATAAACATGAAAAAATCCAGGCAAAACAAGACTGTTTAGGGTTGCCTCCTTTGTAGTAAAGCTAATGAAAACCGTAAAACTCAAGATAATGGCTTCCTTGGGGGGGGAGGGGAGACACTGATTAGGCAGGTGCTTTCTAGGTTCTGCCCATGTCTCTTGACCAGGTGGTGGTTACATGGGTGTTCGCTTTATGAAAAAATTTTGAACTGTACATTTTGGTTTTTTGTATTTTCTCTGTGCTAGAATTCACAGTAAAAAATTATTTGCAAGAACACCAACAGGACTATTAGTAAAGAAGGGGTGTATATCGTCCTATGAGCAAGAAAAAAGAAGTGGTATTTTGGTTGTGGTAACTGTCAGAGGTTTCTCCCTGACCTGTTCAGTCAAGTAGGGGGCATATTCATCCCGTTCATCACAAAAGCTCTGGAGGATGAGTCCCCAGACCCTTGCTATGCCCCTTGCCTGCAGCACTGCTCAAAACTTTGTATTTTATTCTCAGTGTGATGGGAAACCTCTCTCCAGAAGTTTGAGAACAAAGGAGTGATGTGGTTTGATTTTATTGTTTTGTGGTGGTTGCTTTTTTAAAATTTGTAGTGGTGTTCAAACAAAAAAAGTTTTAGAGACTACTAGATTAGGGGATGATATGAAGAAATTATTTTATTAAAAGGAAATCCAATGGTTTTTTTTATAAACAAGAATTTATTATACACATAATTCTGTGGCCTGAATGAGAAGATATGTGCAGAAGTTGCAATATGAGAAGATTTCAGTCAAGAACAAGCATGTCTGTACTTAAGCTTGTTCGATCTGGAATTTGTTGTTTAAGGGCTATGTTATCATTCTCAGCAATTTGATTTAGGAAGAGTCTTGTCTGCAAGACAGTTTCTCAGAATCACTTTCAACTCTCTGATTCCTCCCTTCTTAAATTGTCTTTTTAAAATTATGTGTACAAATTGATTTGTTTAAAGAACTAAACTTTGAGTAATGATCTTAGGGGCCACCATGTTGAATATGTCAGCCAAGAGGTTTCGGATTGGCTGCCTGTGGGCAGAATGTGTCTGATATATGTGCTTTGTCTGGCCTGCAGAGTGCTTTAAAAGAGTCACAGTCAACATTTTAAATTAGGGCTTTACGTGGGAATCTACATTTCTATCTTCTCATGAAAAACCAGAAGAGGTAGCAACACTGGGCCTACCTCCTCGCAAGGCAGCAGTCAGCTGGAGTTGAGTCGGGCAGCCTCCTTCAGATGCGGCATGTGCTTCCCAGGCCTCCAGCCTCCCCCCACACCCTGTTCATTCATATTATACTTGATGCAGTGGATTTAGATTAGAGACCTTGTCCCTGTAGTTATTCAATGTGGGGGGCATCTGGGCAGTTCATGTACACTCAGAATATCTTTTTTCTTTTTACACTTTTCTAGGAATCCCCTATCCCAGAAGACAAAGACCGCCGATTTGTCTTCTCTTATTTTCTAGCCACTGATATGATCAGCATCTTTGAGCCTCCTGTTCGAAATTCTGGTATTATTGGCGGCAAGTACCTTGGAAGAACAAAAGTTGTCAAACCACAGTCTTCAGCGGAAAACCCCATCTACTATGGCCCTGGTGACTTCTACATTGGGGCTGTGATTGAAGGTAGGTCTAATCACAGTTTGGGCTTCCCAACTGGCCTAGTGAATTAATTCAGTTCCTCTTACAAGAGGCACTTAGGCTGCGTTCCAGCCAAGGTAAAGCTATTTTCTTCCATATGTGGCCCAGTGTTTTACTGTACTTCCTTATTTTATCAATTAAACTGTAAATTGATTGCATTTTTTTGGCTATAAATACAGACCCTGAACTTCCTAACACTGAACAAATGACTGCATGCATATAAGTTCAGGGAGCTATTAAAAGTTCATTAGTCTAGGTCACAAATGCCTGTCTGTGAATTCCTCACTGCAGGCTCAGTGTTATTTTACTCCTGATTGTGTGATAAAAGCATAACGAAGCTAAGTGTATTTCTACCTTCCCCCCAGTATTTAGCCACCGGTTCATCATCCATGATATAGACGACTACGCTTTGAAATATATGGAGAGCAATGCTGCCCAGTATTCACCAGAAGCACTCGCATCAATCCAGAACCATATTCGAAAGCGAGAAGCTCCTGCACCAGAATTAGAAAAGTATGTTTGATTGTCTAGAGTCTGTTTTGAATTTGGCACATGTGGCATATTCAGGAAATAATAATAATAATAATTTTTTTACAGAAACCTTTAGTTTCTTTTTTTTTTAAAGATTTTATTTATTTATTTTTAGAGAGGGGGGAATAGAGGGAGAGAGAGAGAGAAACATCAACATGTGGTTGCCTCTTGAGCGCCCCCCACTGGGGAACTGGCCCACAACCTAGGCATGTGCCCTGACTGGGAATTGAACCAGTGATTGTTTGGTTCACAGGCCAGCACTCAATTCACTGAGCCATACAAGCCAGGGCTCAGGAAATAATTCTTGATAAAATGTTGGGTAATCACATTTTAGATTTTCAGGTTTTCCTCACCAAGTAGAATTATTGGTCATACACAAAAGGTTTTCTGTGTCCAAGATAACAATTAGCAACTCAGGGTATTTTCAACTTTTTTTATTTAGCAAATAATGATTGAATGCCTCGTATGGGGCAGATAAAATCACTAGCTCTGGGGCTTTTCCAGTAAACAAAGTACAAAGAAATTGCTTCCCTCATGGAGTTAACCTTCTAAGCAGAGGGAGACAGCCAATAAACAGCATCAGTAAATGATACAGTATATTAGCTGATGAGTGCTATGGAAAAATGCAGCAAGATAAAGGTGATAAAGGTTTCTGGGGAGTGGTGGTGGATTGCAGTTGATCAGAGGAGGTTACAGCTTGGAAATGTGACTTGAAGGTGAGGAATTGGCCACACAGGTATCTGGAGGAAGAGCTTTCCAGGGAGAGGGAACTCTGAATGCTCAGGCCAGAGTAGCAGCCCACCTAGACTACTCAAGTAACACTGGCAAGAAGGAGGCCTGTGAGAGTGGCTGGAATGGGCTGAGTGAAAGACAGAGAAGTGGGAACTGGAGTTAGAAGAGGAGTAACAAGGGGACAGATTGTGTAGGACCTACTAAGTCTTTGGGAAGATGTTGGCTTCTCTCTTTGTGAAATGGAAAGCCACTGTTGTATTCTGAGTAGAAGTGGCAAGATTTGATGTATGTTTTAAAGAGCTATTGTGTTATGAATAGATTAGGAGAGAAATTAGTTAGGAGAATATTGCCCTAATCCAGGTAAGAGATGATGATACATGGACCAGGATAGTATTAAAGACAGTGAGAGAAGTGCTCTGCTTTTGGTTGTGTTTTAAAGGTAGCTTCCTTAGGGGACATAGGAGAGAGAGTAGTCAGGGATGACTGTAAGGGTTTTGGCCTGAACACCTGGAAGGAAGGAGTTGCCATCATCTGAGATTGAGGACGATGTTCCTTTGGGGTAGAGGAGGGTTTAGGAGGAGAGGATTTCAGTTTTGGCTACATAAGGTTTAAGACAGCTATTAGATATCCACGTAGAGATATCAGAGAGGCTGTTGGTATATAAATCTGGAGTTCAGGCAAGAGGCCTGGGCCGAAGATGTAAATGCAGGAATTGTTGGCATATAGATGATATTTTCAGCCACTGGACTGGGTAGAATCTTCTGGGTGCAGATAAAGAGGAGCTGCAAGAACTGACCGTGGGGTCCTCCAACACTCAGAGTCTGAGAAGAGGAAACTGAGTAAGACGACTTGTGAGGCAGGAAGAAAACCAAGTGGGTGTGGTATCCCGGAAACCCAGCAAGGAGAGTGTCACCTCCGTGTGCACCAGAGTGTGGGGCCGTGAAAATGACCATGCAACACAGTCTCTAATCAGTGGGAAAATTCACCGTAAAAATTATTGTATAATCATGAAAAACTCTGATGGCTATAAATATATAGGGAAATGAAAAAGCAGTCATACAAATTTTTATTCAGCACACTTTAAGACATAGACAACATAGAAAATGAAAGTGTTGTATTTCCTTGTAAAAAAACTTCGGAACAGTAGTAGTTTAGACAGTGCTTGCTGCCTTTTTGTCATCGTGTGACTTACACAGAGCGAACATCTTTTCTGTGCACTGGCAAATTGTCATTTCCTTCCTAATTTTGGATCAGCTTCCAAAATGTTATTATTTTTGCTTTCAGTGTTGTGGAATATCTCCTAGACATCCTTTAATGACAGTGAAATATCTCCGAAAGTGTCTTTATTGTGCAGTGTTTTGCCAGCATCCGGGATCTGTCCATTCCTTTCCTCACGATCATTCTCCTCACTGCACGTCAGTCGCAGCCTCACTTACTGACACTGAGAGACACTTCTGTGGCAGCAGTGTCCGTTAGCAGTCCCACAGTCAGCTCTGTCTTCTTTCTTATTTTTTAATTGTTTAAATTATTTTATTTTATTATTGTTCAAGTACAGCTTTCTGCCCTTTAGCTCTCTTCTATAACACCATTCTATTTGATTCAGATTTTACTTCAGGCATTATCACTTTTTATTTCTTTGTTGAACTTTCATCTGCGTTGGTCAGTTCTCTCTTTTGTAAAACGTCCCATGGGTTCATCACTGAGAGACTGGGAGGCCACTTGGCTGCACACTTTGTTGTCTGTGTGTGAACTGGAAACAGATGCTCAGTGACCAGTCACCAACAGACGTCGAAAGAAGTAATATGACTGTCACTGATCATGATATGTATGCATCTGTTACGTATGTGCTGATTTCGTGGGCTGAAAACCTGACGCTGAATTTGTGCTTTATGCAGTTATTCACAGTTACAAGCTGGGGTAAGTGAAGTTTGAACCATGCTGTTGAGAGACTGGGTTACTTAAACAGTAGTAACTGCAACTCATGCATGTCAGAACTGTGCAAAGAGAAAATTGCCTGTATATCAAGGAAGACAGACTAATTCATTTTGCCAGATGGGGATTTAGTGATGTGGGGGACGTTGGGGACTTAATGAAGAGTTTCAGTTGAATGGGGGTGGGTAGGAAAACCAAAAACCTGATAGGAGTGGATTTAGAGAGAATGGGAGGGGAGGAATTCAAGAACGGATGGATAGACAAATGGTGTGAGGAAGCTTGGTGCAAAGGGCAACAGAAATGGGGCGGTGGCTGGTGGAAGAGGAAGTGGAGTTAAGACAAGAGTTTTGTTTGGCTTTAAGATAGCATGTTTATTTGTAAGTGGGAATGATTCTGTGGAGAGGGAAAAACACTGATACCTGTGTGGGGGAGAGGGGAGGTCTGTGGAGCATGTGGGAGAGGGTGGGGTTTGGTGCACAAGCAGAGGCACCAGCTGTAGACTCAGGCACCAAGAATCCATCTTGGGTAGTGGTTCTGAAACTTTTGGTCTCAGGAGACCCTTATACTCTTAAAAACCTGAAAGGGTGTTTGTTTATGTGGTTTATACCTGTTAATATGTAACATGTTAGAAATTATATCTGACATTTAAATATTTGTTAGTGTCTTAAAAACAGTAAGAAACTCATTTCATTTTAATACAAATAACATGACTTTATGCAAAATAACTACATTTCCCAAACAAAAAAAATTAGTGAGGGGAGTAGCATTGTTTTACAAATTGTTTTTCACATCTCTTTAATATCTGACTTTAGAAGATATTAAAATAGAGAAGACACTGAAAATAGAGAAGACAACTCTATTTTCATCTGCTTCTGTGATGAGCCTACTGTGACTTCCTTCATCACATAACCTTTGGAAAAACTCCACTGTGCATGTGTGAGAAGATGAATAAAAAAGCAAATAATGATTAACTATTATTTTAAGAATAGTTTTGACCTCACAGACTCCCAAAAGGGTCTCGGGAGCCTCCAGATGTCCTGGGATTAATCTCTGAAAGCTTGGTTTGTGGTAACAGTTAGAAGGTGGAATGTGGCGGGTACAGATGCTGGTTGTGGTGGATATGGTCCAGGGGTTTTGCTGATTGTCTCATTGTTATCAATGTAGTTGTACAGTGGGAAGAATGGGGTTGGGGAGATGTTGGAGGTTTCAGGAGAGAGGAAATTTGCAAAATGCTCTGTTCTGTTGACTACATAAGTAAAATAAATGAAATGAATATAAAAAATAAATGAAAATACATATATTGCATTATTTTGTCTACTACTAAGAACGGAAAAATGTCAGTTAGAGCTGATATTCACCATCAGTTAAAAAATGCATCCTGAATCTAGAGGTGTATCAACTGTGGGGGGGAAATGTTGTGTCAACACTGATGAAATGTGACGACTATCTAGGAAAGTGGGGGGGTGACTGCATTGGAGAAACAGAGTTTGGTGGCTGGCAGCATTAAGGGCTGAGTTGAGATTCATGGCCATACATTTAATGCAAGCACTTCTCAGAATTTTTTCTGTAATTTTTTCATGCCTATGAAAACACCAGCAACACTGGAGAGCTTCTTGCATTGACATACTCCCAGTAGAATCTTTTTATTTTTTTTCTCTGATTTGGTAATGATAAAAAGACGCTACTGTGGCACTTAGAATGAGATAACCAATACAAAAAAAGAACAGTTCAAGTTCTGAGTTAAGAGATTCATTGCAGTCTTATTGTGACCCTCACCTTCTCTCTCCTCTTGTGATGAGTCAGAAATTGGAGGTAGAGAAAATGCTTGGAACCCAAGTGTCATGCCTTCCATGTCTTCTAGCCATTCTGTCCTTGGCCTCTAATGCCTCTCATCCGGTAAAGGATCCATCTGCTCTAAGAAAACACAAGTCCTTTATTTGACTAATCATTGTATAAGTCATGAAAAGAGGATCCCAAGGACTTGTCAGGCCTAAGTACTTTTTGTGTCAAGTTATCAGTCATAGTATGGTGAAATTGGGGAGTTAGCCATTTTTTTCCTAAGCCAGAAAATTAAAACAATGCATAGGAAATTGAGCACTGACTTTATCTGAAGTTCTTTTTGGGTTTTGGGTCCTCATTGCAATATATTGAACTAAAACTTGGAGATAACAAATGCTCATTAACCCTCTATATTGGGAATCTGCATGTGTGAATAGCATAAAATCACACATGTTTATATATATTACTCTTGTCTGGTTAGCATGTCCATTTGTGCTCTTCCACTCCAAGAAGACCCTCCTCCCCTGTTTAAGGATCCT